CACACAACTAAAAGGGACCTCTCAATGCAGTGCCAAATCAGACAAACCATTTCTAATTTAATATAGGCTTGAGCTGTAGATGGGCAGAGTTGCACAACAATCTCATCTGTCATTGAGACATTTCTATAAGCATGGGGAGGAGGTGGATGAAAGGAAATGTAAAATATAGGTAGAGTGGTATAGGTCTTATTACTGGCTGATAATGGTCTATATTAATGCCACTGCTGACTGCTGTTCACTTTACATGGTTCAAATGTTATTTTGTTATAGTTTATTAAATATTTTATTACACTATTTGGTTCAGAATATATTTTCCCTGTGTTCCTCCTCTAAAAATTAAGTGCGTCTTAAGGTCCGGTGCGTCTTATGGAGCAAAAAATACGGTATATGTTTTGTGTTTCTAACTCTTCTTTGGACCTTAACTTACAATCTTTTTTAAAATAGATCTTGATATCTTAAAAGTTTCACTTCTGTCATGAGGTTAGGTTGTGTAAAGGCCTCTATTGGTGATAACCAGCCTGATGGGGTTTTGTGTGTTTGTGTGTGTGTGTGTATCTGCTGTATGATCTTTTTCCATGTCCCTAGTTGGGCTCTTCTTATCATATGCAAGTTGAAACTTTTCTGCTCTTTATCTTTTTTATACCATAGAAAGCATGCCAACCTAACTGTAAATCATGTCCTTCCAAGCCTTGCTTGTTCTCTTTAATGCAAATTCAGGTTGGACTAATGAGTTAAGGATGGAACGTGGGACTTCATTTGAGTGAAGACTGCCCTTGAATGTCCCATTGGACTTTTTTTCCCTACCGCAAATAAAGGGTACAGTTTGGTGTCAGTCACCTTTGAGCAAGCTGCTCTGTGTACAGCGAGCCACACAGCCAAGAAAACATGAACAAGATTAGTCCGTTAGAAAACTGATTTTTACAGGTTTGCAAAATAGTATGAGATATACTCACAAGAATATTGCATGAACATCAGGAAAAGCTATGCTAGGACTGAGGTATTTTATCTACTGTACTTGGTTCCCTTTAATGAAGATAGTTTCACCACCAATGGAAGGAAAGACCAAGGCTGATTTTCATTTTTGTTCTTTAAAATATTTTCCTTTGGGATATTTTGTCTCTTTGATGAGAGGTTTGGTTGGTGGCAGGTGAGTATTTTTATGTTTACATTGTATGTATGCAAGCCACCCAAAGTAGTGGCAGTGCCACTAGATGGGTTGGATAAAAGGTTGGTCAATCAATCAATCAATCAATCAATCAATCAATCAATCAATCAATCAATCAATCAATCAATCAATCAATCAATCAATCAATCAATAAATCAATCAATCAATCAATCAGCAAGCCATTTTCCCATGTTTCAAGAAGAATAATCTACAGCTAGTTAAGAAGCTCTACATCTAATCACTTTATTACAGTGATTATTAGCATTTTCCACATAAAGAACCTCAAAGCAGAGGCTGGCAGAACACATTGAAAACTGGGTTGTTAATCCGGCAATAAAGCATTGGGCTGGATCCAGACTAATTTAGTTGCCACTGAAATCTAAGAGGGACTTAACTTAGTCATGGCTATCTTTTCATGTTGGCTCTAAAAGAACTTATCTGCAATTAATATATTCTGGATCAAGCTCATTATTTAGCTGTTTCGTTGCCTGAAGTAGGGAGCTGGAGGGCAGTACCTTCTAGCCTCATCTTTGCATAGAAGACCAAGGATTTGTGGAGGGTTGCAAGTGGAGATCCATCAGTTGGGAAAAGAATAGCTGCACCCATGGTTACTTTCCTTTTCCCTCTCCATTCCCTTCTGCTTTTGTCTTGTCTTTTGATTCTAAGCTTGTGGGCAAGGAGTGTCTTTTTTTCTGTAACTGTAGAACACTTTGAAAAATGTAGGTGTTTAAAATCTTAAACAAATTTTTTTCACGGGAGTTTGGAAGGTCTTGGGGTTCCTCCCACTTGCTTGCAATTTAAAAGACATTAGACAAAAGGAGGAAAGAGGTGGAATGAGGAAATGAAACATGTTCAGGCACCAGTTTCTAAGTTCCATGGTATTTAGTGACCAATTTCAGTGAAAACAATTGAGGAAGAGGTGAAACCAGATGGTGATCTGGTTCTCAGCCCAGCTGGCTAAAGAGGTCCTGCTCTCTCAATTCATATTTTGCTGTTCTCAGGTGAAATAGTGGCCAGAATTTTACTAATGTGCATATCAGGTCTGGATCATTAGCAGCAATTAATTGCAACTAATTGCTGAGATGCCGGGATATGTCTTGATTGCATTCCTGGTCACGTACTTCATTGTGCAGTCAAGATGTGCCCTAGCAGCTTTTTGATGAGCAAGAGTGGTCACTTTTGAGGTGGGTGGGGTCAGATTGCACACCTTGTGAATGTTTAAACCTTATTTCTAATTTGCTGTGTTGGTTTCTTTTAAGGACAAAGATGTTTCAAGGCTTCAAGATTTCCAAGAACTGGAGTTGGTTCTGACAATGAGCGACAACGACTTTCTGTTTAGAAATGCTGCACCAACGTTGACAGAAAGACCTTGTTACAATAAGAAAGCATCAAAACTGACATACTAATTGCTGAAATAAAATACCTGTCACTAGCATTTAACCTAGGGGTTTTGTAAGGGCTATAACATCAAATTATACTTTACCTGTGGAGGTTACCTTTTGACCCATTAAGTCTCCTTATTTGAAAGCAAGTACAACTGAAGACTGTTGCACTTCTTTCAGGTGATCTGTGCTTAGGATGAGGATCTCGGTACTTGTAGTGTCCGCCATTAGCTTTGAATAACCTGACACTCAAATAATGTGCTGAGGTAGAATACTAAGCAGGGACAGACTGTGCACTCTCTGCATGCAGCTGTGTTTCTTGAGAGGGAATTATTTCTCCCTAGAATACTGCGGAGTTTGAAGCTCTCAGGGAAAGGCTTTAAATGAAATTGTTCTCATAATTGCTATGGACGTAAAGGAGCAGGAGCACTCATGTTGAAGGACAGAACCTGGGAGGCAGAAAATGCTTGTAATGAGACTCTTTAGCATGCAGAGATTCCTGGTATTACTAATGAGAGTTAAATGTGCAATGTGTGAAGAATACACTATTTTTAAAGAGAGAAGAAAGAACAGGGAAGGAAGAAAGAGTAGCCAGGGTTCTCAAGCAATAGTGAGGTTGGCATAGGAGTATCAAGGTAGTTCTGAGTTATGCTGATAGGCCATCCTTCTGGACCATCAACACCGCAAACAGTAGTGGGGATAGGTTTTGCCACTTGTACACGTCAAAGGAAGCGGCTAGTGTTAGAGTCAAGATGTAGGTCAAGGGGAAGCTTGCCCTGCTGACCTCATTGTTACTTAAAGAAGCATGAGCAAGCTACTAAAGAGATGGAAGACTGGAGCCCTCAGAGGTACATTGTGGCCAGGGCTTGGGGAAAGTCAGCTTTTGAGGAGAATGGCCCCAGAATCCCCCATCTAGCCTGGCCGTTGGCCGTGCTGCTGGGAGGATTCTAGGAGCTGTAGAAGGAACTTTTCCAACATCTGTCTGGGGTATCATATACTAGACAAAACATCTCCCACTGCCTGGTCCTTTTAAGAGCAAAGCTTGGGTATCTGATAGAAGCACACACTTTAATTCAGCTGGTTTAAGACTCTTACAAGGTCACAAAACCAGCTGCAGTTTCTTCAAAATGGTGCTCAGTTCAAACATTTGAACATATTTACTGTATTATCCCAAACTGTAAATATGGTGTTGGACAAAACTATTAGTGTGAGCTGTCATGCTGACATGAGAGTGCTTGTCAGCAAACAATGTGGAATGATTGATAATATCTGGTGGTGACTGAACATTTTAATTTTTATTATTATTATTTGTATTCTGTTTCAGCTTCCTGAGGAGTAAGTAGATTGGTAACTTGACTCCACAACCTGAAACCGCAAGTGGACTGAGCACATTTTCTCTTAGCCTCTAGCCTTTATCCTGTGTATACTCTGGTCTTAAACTGTTAACCTGTTTAAGGGAAATAATCTTCTAGCATTTTAAATAGCAGAATTATTTTTCATACCAAGATAAAAATCTTGGGAGTTTCTATGCATTTTTGATAGATGTGCTTGCATTTCACATAGGCATGCCCTGCTTCTCCCCTCCTTGCTAGTTAAAATCCTATGCTGTCAAATCCTAGAATAAACAATCTGGAAAGGCTTGGAACATAACCTGTTTGAATAAGTAAATAATATATATAGTTTTAGGATTCCATAGTACTAATGGAGATACAGTATGTCATTTACTTTGGCTGTAGTTCAATTAATATAGACTACAAGGTGGAAGGACTATAGCGAGGCACTTGGAAATTAGTAGAGAAAAGCATTTAGCTGCTGATTGCTATGTCGCTGTGTCAGTGTTCCCCTTGCCTCTGGCTGGGGTAAAGGGATCATGGGCACTAATAACAACCCTTATCAGTGTTATAGAATTAAGAGAGGTCTGAAGTTTGAGAGGGGACACTGCCCATTTTGGGGGTGGGGGGAAACTATGTGCCAGAACCGACCATCCTTGTGAACTTGTCCAGGACAGAACACTAATCTTTGGGGCTGCTTCTGCTGATGGATCTGAATGGCACACGAGGTGATGATTGTCTCCTTCCTTGTTGGAAATTCCCTCTGGGTAGTTAGCGAGTCCATCCCAAGTAAGTGAGGGTAGCCATCCCACAGCTGCTTTTCTGTCTTAGCCACCTGTTAACCTTAATGTGACAGAAGAAAAGATGGAGAAGATTCTTCCCTCTTACCCTTTTAACCTGTGTGCACATTTTTCTCAGCTGTAGCTCCCCTCTGTTTCAACAGTCAAAGGAAGGAGAAGAAATGTTATAATCTTGTAATGATCTTAGAACTGCAGGACTCCTATGGGTCGAGTCCAGCCCTTACCAGGGAGGCACAGCGGGGGAATCGAACTCCCAACCTCTGGCTCCACAGCCAGATACCTAAACCACTGAGTTATTTAGCAGCTCATTGGGTTCAGCCATGTTGTACCTCAAGATTTCCTGTACTGTTTTGGGGAACATGGCCAATATATCTAAGAAGACTTCACTTATTCTGTGATATTGGTAGCAGCTTCTGTGTTTCAGAGTGGCTCACAGACAGAACATTTTATTGACCAAGGCTATGTAGAACATATTCCTCCAGACTTGTGGAGGAAAACTTTGTTAAAACTATTTCAGATCCTGTAAGTAAGAGGGTAGAAAGAGTGCTGTTCTGTATATTTACACATATATTGCAGATTTGATTTTGATTTCCCGAGCAGCCTAACTATTTCTTAAGAAACACTGGGTATGACGCTACTAGGTGCTTAATATTGTCTGGTAGGGTAAAGCAATGGCTGGAAAATCCACCTTTAATAGTTTATTAGGCCTCTTGTATGCTGTGGAGTTTTCAGATGTGATCATTCTCAAATGTAATTGTCTCCTCAACCATTATATTGAGGAGGGCAGCTGGCAGCACTGCAGATGTTATTAGACTGCAGCTACAATTGTCGGTCACCATTGGTCATGTTGGGTGGGGCTGATGGGAATGGCAGTCCACCATCATCTGGAAAGCTGTATGTCCCCCTTGCTTGAGCTGTATTTTCATGTCCCATACGATATTTTGTGAAGCAAATTTAATGTCAAATGTCATTTTGCTTCAGTGACCTATGCTGGCCACATGTCCCAGTCAGGCTAGATCTTAAAAGATGCACTGAAGAATCACTGTGATTAATATAATTAATTAACCACAGAATTTTAAGATGTGGTTTTAAAACCTGAGCTGTCCCTTATGAAAGGGAATTCAGAGCTGATTGCATTATTATCCAATCAGTCTGCTCACACAACTGCTGATTGAAGCAATATATTTGAAATTGGGTTTTCAAAAAAAAATACCCAGTTTGTCTGAATTAAGTCAAGATAAATCACTAGCATTGAAATGACTGCTTTAATACTGTTAAATAATTAATTGTATTGTTTTCAGTTATTTGATTAAAATATTTAACTATTCTAACAGTTAAAGTATTCAGATCATAACTAGTTTTGAGATAATTGCCCCTTAAGTTCATTTTGGTATGTTTCATAAGAGGTGCCTAGATTGATACGGTCAGCATCCTCTGACATGAGCCAGAAATCTGGACTTTATGTTTTCAGAGATTTCAGGGCTAAGCAGTAACAGAGCAAATCTTATCCACGATGATGGATTCACTGTTCCACAAAGGAGACAAAATGATGTGTGACAATCCAGTGTAGTTAGCAAAGTTGTATGTATGAAGCATGTAACGAGGCCTTGTTTGCATAGACAATACTGTTTTGAGGTAATACAGGGAGCTTTTAATTGTCTTGGGGGGGGGGTTGGTAAGCAAGGTCTTGTTGTCTTTAAACCTGTACCACTAGAAGTTCACTGGGATGAGAAAGCCATCCCTCTGATCCAAGACCTTGTACACTGGCATAGCCAATGCCACCTGGGATTTGAATTTTGTACCCTTACAAGCCCCTGACATTATCCCAGGATTTAAAAATGCCAGTTATCAATGGAACAGTCTGGGATAGTGCATCAGCTTTGTGGTATAGCCTTGGTAACGGAGGCTTAGCTTCTAGGGTTATCACTATCATTCCCTACTGGGATTGATTTCATCATCCTATACTAATCATTGGGAACTTCTGGACCAAATGGAGCCTGTGGTGTCCCCTTCCCCCCCCCCCCCCAATTGTTCAGATAGCAGCCAAGGAACAGGCTCTTGGGAATGGGGTGCTAAAGCCTCCCATCACCACATCAATCATGGTGAAGATTTTTCTTTCTAATGGCAGCAGGGGAACAATGATCCTGGCTCAAGACTGCTGCTCTAAAGGTCAGGCAAAAGCTCTCCACTTCCTCCGAGCAATCTGGATCAGGTTAATTGGGGTGCAAGTAAAGATCAAAGCTAAAAGCTGATCAGGATTGCTGCAACAAGGATGAAGTACAAGAATGGCTGGCTATAGCCAACTAATTCAGCAAGTATTGAAATAAATAGAAGCACAGCCATTGGCTGAGTCCCTGTTCCCTGACAAATGCCAGACAAGGACTTGCATAGCATACTTCTATCTGGAAATGTTTATGTGGAGGTTGATAAGGCTCAGGATTTGATCCTGGGAGGTGCATCTTAACTCTGATTTTGCAAAACACTGATGTGTGTGCCTAAGCTTCACATACACAGCCATCTGCTTTATAATTGTCTGAAAGGAAATGTGCCATTGTGCTGTCAGACTTAGCTTAAAAATTCCAGCACCTTTCAGGAACAAACACTTAAAAGGCAAAGGCCACAATCCATCACAAAGTCACTGGACTGAATGGTGTCCCACTCTGGTCCAAACTGGCACTGACATGTTTTAGGTTTCTCATTCAGAAGCAGATGTCCCTTAGAATCCAGTGGTCAAAAAACTCTTGTCTAGTTACATCAGTGTAATGGAAGTGGTATAACATTTGGAGGCAAACTACTTCAGGCTGAGAAGCCACCATATACATTTGTTGCATATTGAGTGATGCTGCCCTGTGTGGAACAGATAAAGTCTACAGTGATTTCTTAACTTGAGGTTGTTTGCATTATGCCAGTGTGACTATGCAACAGGATTTTGGCCAATATGTGGGGAAGCTCTTAATTAGCCATAGTATTATTTAATAAATTACTGGTCTGAAGATTATTCTGCCCAGTGGCTGGCATCTTTCTATGCACTCAGATAATATTTTTATATTGTATAACATGTGTAATTTATAACAGAAGATTTTATTAGCTTTGCTAACCAAATTATTAACCTCATAATAACTGTGTAGTTCTTTCTGACATCAGTGGATATTAAGGAATCAGAATTTCTGTGTTGCTGTAGAAACAATATAGTAAAAATTAAGAATTACTCAATTCTTGTTGCCTATGTGTTCTATCATTTTTACAGTAATAAAACTTTGTTGCCTTTAAAATGAGGTGTGTGGATTTTTCTCTTCCTCCCAAAAGAATCATCCAAGGGAATGTTCACTGTACGTTGTCTTCATGATCAGCATGATCAGACATGAGGTTCTTTGGAGGAAAAACATATTCCAAGTGCTGTCAAATCCATTCTGCCAGAAGGGCTGCAAAACCATATCTTTCTGACAAGCTTTTAAAGCCTGCGTACCTGAGAGGACTTTAGTTGACAAATAGGTTGTAATACTTCTTTGAAAAAGAATAAACCTCTTGCTGTTCAAATTCAGATGTAAAAACAACATCATGGTTGCGCCTTTGGAATTCTTAACAAGAAGTTGACCCCAAATAATCAGATTAATACTTTATATCAGTACACATCATTTACTGATATAGAAACAGAATATAGTTAATTGCTAGACATAAACAGAAACTACACACATGCATCCATTTTCTTAACAGGATGTCTGACAATTAAAAAAAACACTCAAAAAGTAGAAAATGTGTTTAAAAATATAAAATTACATTTTCTGGTTCTTGAAGGCATATGAAACGCTTTTAACCTGTATTATCATAATCTGATAGAAATGCTGTTTTTAAAAAAATACAGTGACTTTCAGATATTGCTTTTGGGTAGAAAACAACCCAGTAACTAGTCCTTGGCTGATAGAGAGTGGATGTCGTGTTATGCCAATCCAGCATCTTTGGCCATACCATAGAAGACCCCTCTAGATGCAATGAGTCTTGAAGGTGTGTCAAACTCAGCAATTGCTCCTTTGTCTAGAACAAGAACTCTGCAAAACAACACAAAAATATATGTTTACACTTTAAAGAAAGAAGTGTGCAAGCTTACCATGGCATTGTCACAAAATCCCTAACTAATTCACAAATACTCCCTTTCTAAAAAGATTACTTTTTAAATCCAAATGATCAGAAAAATCAAGACAAAGAGAGGGAAAATGGAATATGTGTCAGCCATAGTCATAGTGGACAAGTACTGCGAAAACTGGATTAATATTCCAGCACTACTGTCGCTGCGTGGTCTGTGACAGATCGTTTTCGGATTTAACTTCCTACCAGAAACGTGAATGATTGCCCCATGAGGCTATTATGTGTGACAACAGGAAAACAAAAGGTAAAGCATTCTATAAATTAGATGCTCATGTAATGGTAAACAATAATGTAGTGAGTTTATACCAGATAGAATGTCCTAAAGAGCTTAACTTGCAGAAGTATTCAAATAATGTTGGTCATAGAATTCTCATTTATTCTGTAGCATTTTGAGATTACTTTTATACTTTAATTAGGTTATAAATGGCTTGATGTTAATATAAAACATTGCTCCTCCTGTACCCCACCCCACCCCATTTTGCATACAGCTCATATTCTGATGAATTAACTTGATCTGGTAAGAAAGAACATGTGGCTAAATGGGTAACCCTACCCTAGAGGTATGTTTGCACTCTAAAGCTTCTTTGGTGAATGGCAAACTATCCTTCTCCACACCTCCCAGAATATTCTGCGTACTTTGGTGAAGCAAACTGCACACTACAAAGCGACATAGCAGATTTACTTAGGAGTAAGCACTAGCCTGCCAACACAAAACAAAAGATTGAGGTGCTTCCTCCTAAGCAGATTCAACTTAGCAGAATTCCAACCTGCCACTTCGTGCAAAAGGACCTTGTACACATGTTGCATGGAATATCACCACCTAGGGAACTAAGTCCTTCTTCAGACACAACAAGGAAAAGACTGTATGGTCCTTAAGATTACAAAAATGTAAGAGTGTTCTTCAGGGAGTCTTTTAAAATAAAACCAGAAGTGAACCACCCAGGATGAAAAGTACCAGCTATATCCTAAGAGGAAGGAACAGTACGAACACAGATTTCAGGTCTCTGGAAGACACAAATTATCTCTGTTTGCCAGTAAAGCTGGCAGGAGATTAACTGATCCAATATAAATGAGTCATGGGGTTCCCACGCTTGAACATAAGTCTGATCTGGCACCTGGAATTAATGACATGTTCTGCATTCGATTCACCTGAAGCAAGTAAGGAAATGCCACCCTAGAGAGCTCAAACTCCCTTTCTGGAGATAGATATAAAAACCACGCAGCGTGGCTACCTGGTGTAATCCATAATGGTATTCAGCCTGTGTGCTATTGTTAGCACCGTGCAGTCTTCAAACTGTGTTCTTATTGTCATCTGAATGAGGTCGTCTGTCTCCAGATCGATTGCTGCAGTGGCTTCATCCAAAATAAGGATCCTCGTTTTGCGGAGGAGCGCTCTTGCCAAGCAAATAAGCTGCCTTTGGCCAACACTGGGAAGAGGAGGTAGAGAGTTGTTTTTCTCGTTCTTTCAAATCAAGGGCCATGCCAGTGCTGTGAGCTTTTCGAAACCTCTTCAGGCTACACCAGTGACTGGGCGAGGTTCCAACCAAATGCTATCGGGACTTGTGGCTGCTGCTACTACTCTATATTCTGCCCATACATTTATCCAGGAATGTCTAGAAACCATGGCGCTATCACGTGCAGGACCTCCTAGTTCCTGAGCTGCAGTGGGAATTGAGAAATATGTAACGCAAAAAAGGGCTTCATGTGAAAGTGTGATCAGGGGGAAATTCTAGCTCCGTCCCTGGCCCCTCACGGTCTCCCCATGTAGAAGGGCCGTCTGAAAAGGAAACATTGCTGCATGTCAAGCCTCTCCACATAATTCGGAACCCTGAACCAAGTGAAAAGTATTCATGTGTATTCATGGCCTAAACCAGGGGTGGGAAAGGTGTGGCCCTCCAGATGTTGGACTGAACCCCTCCCCCCATCAGTTCTATTGTAAGAAGCACAGTCCAAAAATTGGGAGGGCCTCAGTTACCCGCCCCAGTCTACCCACTACTGGAAGGAGGAAGGTTGTGAGTCAGCTGCAGCCACGTAGTCCCAATAAATAGAATTCATTATATGAAATATTTTTATCCCATCATTCCCCAGATTTCAGGTTCACTAAGAAAGATCAATCCAGGCCATAAAATATTATCATGAATTACAAAAACGCAAGTACAGAAGAGATAAAAATGACAGTCATACAAAGTGTTTCTTTAAAACTTTCCAAGACATTTAAATCATTTCCCCAAAGGCATTTTTTTCTTTTTAAATGTTTTTTTTTTGGCAAAGAAATGAAGGGCTACCAGAGGTAGAAATGTGAGCTTCACTGAGGAAGAAGTATCAAAGGCTGGAAGCGGCTACCAAAAAAGGTTCCTTTTCTGGATCCAGAGGAGATTTATTGCATGGCTTCTCGGGTCACATAAAATAGGGAAAAACTTATATGGGACAGTCCTCCAGCTACCAGTTACCCTAAATGGCTCTGCCAGTCACCCTCCAGCACTGAGCCAGGAAACAGACTAGAAGGTAGCATTCTTGTTTAGGCAATGGAGTAAGATGCACTGTCATGCTCAGGAGAGCCTGTTAACAACAAGATTGCTACATCTTGGGCCAGATGAAGTTTCTGTAATTATACTGTACTGTTCCTCCCACAGCCTTACCTCGATTAATGTTGTCATTTTGATTACTGACATCCCATTATTTTTTGAATAATTGCTGTTCTGTTATCATGTTTTCTATCCGTTATTTTTACATACCGTATAGTTCGTGTAGATCTAGTGGCTGTTTTATCTGATGCTTTAATTTTGATTATTGTTGAATTTTATTTTATGTCTGGGCCGTGATACTGCAAGCCACCCAGAGTAGCGGCCTGGCCACTAAATGGGCAGGGTGGAAATTTAAATAAACCAATAAGTTTAGTGATGCATTCAAGCCAGAGCAAACACCCAGACAAATATTGAATCAGATCCATTATAAAATGAAAAGTGAGCCAAGAAATGGAAACATCATTTGTGGAAGGACTAGTGATAGGGCCCAAGCATTTTAGAGGGGCACAGGACACACATGTAACTCGGCCCTTTCATATGTACTTCAAACCTGTAAATCCTCTGATCAGCTCTTGTTCTCACAATCTCTGGAATCAGTGTTCCTGATCAGTATGGTGTTTGTCCGTTCCTTTTGCTTTGTGTATGCATGGGTGGGTGAAGTGTGTGCGTGCATGCGCACGTCTGCACCTGGGTATGAAAGGGGGAGGCAAAACCTGAAAGAGTCCCTTGAGGATTCACTGAACATGCTCAGCTGTCACAGGACGCTAACTGCCTACCGGAGGGGGAATGAAGACAGGAAATGGCATGGCTGCAACTCTGAGTAGAAACTATTCCACAGTCAACATTTTGTAGGCCCCACCTGCCATAACTATTTTGTGACTAGAATTTCACTTACCTAAGATTCTCTCCTCCTTCTGAGCATTCATAATCCAGCATAGCTGGCTGACTGCTGACAAACCTCTTCAAATGAGAAAGTTCAAGAGATTTCCATATTTCTTCCTCAGAATATTTATTAAATGGATCCAAATTCATTCGGAGTGTTCCAGAAAAAAGAACAGGGTCCTGAAAAAACATCAATCACAATTTGTACAGAACAAAGTTCAAAGAAAAATGTAGGAATACCAAAATAAGCATTTCTTCAATAAATTCTGATTCAGTGATGAAGTCAAGGCAAATCTTCCCCCCGCCCTGCCCCTGTGATTTACCGTGCCCTAGCACTATAGGGAGAGAAGGTGGAGTACCACAGGCCATGAAGGATAAAACATTGTCACAGTGTACAAGAACAAAGGAGACAATAACTGCAGTAACTACCATGGCATCTCTCTTCTCAACGTTGTAGGGAAGCTGCTTGCCTGTGTTGTGCTGAAGAGACTCCAGGTATTTGCAGACAGAGTCTATCCAGAATCACAGTGTAAATTTCAAGGTAATAGATCCATCCCTGACATGGTATTTTCCCTCAGACAGTTGCAGGAGAAATGTAGGGAACAACAGCCACTCTTTGTGGCCTTCATAGATCTCACAAAGGCCTTTGACTTGGTTAGCAGGGATGGCCTTTTTAAAATACTTCCCAAGATTGGATGTCCACCTCAACTCCTTAACATCATCAGGTCCTTTCATGAGGGAATGAAAGGCACTGTAGTTTTTGATGGCTCAACATCAGATCCCTTTGACATCCGAAGTGGAGTGAAATGCATATGGGACTTCCTCTTTGCCGATGATGCAGCTGTTGTTGTCCACTCTGCTGAAGACCTCCAACAACTCATGAATCGTTTTAGCAAGGCCTGCCAAGATTTTGGATTAACAATCAGCTTGAAGAAAACATAAGTCACGGGCCAGGGTGTGGACTCACTTCCCTCTATTACCATCTCCACACAAGAATTGGAGGTTGTTCATGACTTTGTGTACCTTGGCTCAACTATCTCTGACACTGTCTCTCTAGATGTTGATAAATGCATTGGCAAAGCAGCTACCATGTTCTCTAGACTCACAGAGAGAGTATGGCTTAACAAGAAGCTGACGGCATATACCAAGATCCAGGTCTATAGAGCCTGTGTCCTGAGCACACTCCTGTACTACAGTGAATCCTGGACCCCTTGTGCACAGCAGGAGAGGAAGCTGAACATGTTCCATATGTGTTGTCTCCGATGCAGTTTTGGTATCGCCTGGTAGGACAATGTTCCAAATAGAATGAGCTGGAATTTTTAGCATGTATACCTTACTGAAACAGCAACGTCTATGTTGGCTTGGGAATGTCTTGAGAATGGCTGATGGTGGGATTCTCCTATATGGAGAATTAGTGCAGGGAAAGCACCACAGAGGGAGACCACAGCTGCAATACAAGGATATATGCAAGTGGGATCTGAAGGCCATAGGAATGGACCTCAACAGATGGGAAACGTTGACATCTGAGTGTTCAGCCTGGACGCAGGCGATGCAGCATGGCCTCTCGCATTTTGAAGAGACTCTTGTCCAGCAGGCTGAGGCAAAGAGGCAGTCCCAAAACCAGCAAAACCAGGGAGCTGGACAGAGGACAGATTATATTTGTCTTCAGTGTGGAAGGGATTCTCACTCTCAAATTGGCCTTCTCAGCCACAGTAAATGCTGTTCCAAAACCTCTATTCAGAGCACATTACCAAAGTCTCTCAAGACTGAAGGATGCCTACATTTAGAATAATAGAATAACAGCATTGCTATATCTTTGGTTCTGTGTGATTTCTGCAATCCAATGAACCAGATCCATTACAGGTGGGTGACATAACTTGGCCATACAATCTCAGTTTGAACCCTCTTCAAGAATGTTGGTTACCCTCATATTGTCTCCCCATTCAGACAGCCTGGATAGCCTTGGCAGCAACACCTCATCCCCACCCCAGATTGAAACCCCTGCTGAAAAAAAACAGGTCAATGAAAGGAAAAATACCAGCCATCCAGCATTTGATCCTGAATTCATACACCAACCTGACCTGTATTACAGACACCTGGTTGAAGGATGCTGGGAGAGTTCTGCTAACTGAGTTCTCTAGTAACAGCAGCAACCTGGATCTGGGAGTAAAGGTGAGGTAGAATTGGCAGTGGTCTACTGTGATTCCATTCTCCTCACCAGGTGCCCTTCCCCATGGTCTTCTGGGCTCGAGTACCTGAAAGTGGAGATCCAAGACAGAATATGGATTCTGTTCATGTACCTCCCACTCTGCTGCTTAGGGGTCTTCCAAGTGAGTCTTGGGGGTAATGCTGGAGTCCCCTTGGCTTCTTGTCCTAGAGGACTTCAACATTCATGCTGAGATCTGGGTCCCTGTGAGAAGTGGCTCAAGACCTCCCATCTTCCATGATGATGACCGTGGGTCTGTCCCACTCAGGTAGCAGGGCACACCCTGGGCCTAGTCTTCTCTGCTGGATAGGGTGAGAGTGGTCTGGTTGTGGAGGATCTTTCTATTGTTTGGTAGTTACTATCCCTGGTGAACTCACTGGAACTCAGACCCTCCACAGAGGTAGGGGGCCAATTATGATGGTGGCTCTTGGGGAGTTTCCTGTCACCTCAGCAGGTAATCCTGTCTAAGCCTTTGTTGACTTCCGGAATAGGGAAAGAGCTATGACCATGGAGTGGAGACAAACGAGTCCCCTAGTTTACTAGGAAACTGGCAACGATGAAATGAGTAGGATGGAGACTTACAGCAACAATGGTGAAAAACTCGGAGCCAATATAACTGAATACAGGCTAGCACTTTTTTAAAGGCTTACTCCCTGGCTGTGCATTTGCACAGAGCCATTCAACAGAGTTTCAAGAAATCAAGGGCTTAATACATGCTCACTCACAAGAACAAGGTGATGAACCTTTGACAGCCATCTGTGATGAATCTGTGTATGACCTTTGGCATTCTGTCTTTGAAAACAGTTTGGAAACTTCAGCTGGGTCAAAACGCTGCAGTCAGGCTGCTGGCTGGTGCTGGTTAGAGGAAGCATATCATCCTTTGTTACACGGTAGACCACTACAACTCTACCTCACCGTTACTCCCAGATCTAGGTTGCTGCTACTGTTGCTGCTACCAGTTGCCAATCAATTTCCAGGCCCAGTTCAAAATTCTGATTATTAATTATAAGGCCCTACAGGACTCAGATCCAGGCTCTCTGAAGGAATCTTGGTTCCTAAAATCTTCAGGGGAGCCCCTTCTCTCAGTCCCATTGTCCTCACAGGAACATTTCGGAGGAATGCGAGAGGGGCCTTCTCTGTAGCTGCACCCAGTTTTCTGAATGCCCTCCTTCAGGAAGCTAAGTTGGCTCCCTCCTTCTTGCCCTTCTAGCAACAGATCAAGATCAAGAGGGTAGTTATAACCACAGTGGACAATAAAGCTAGACTCTCCCTAAGATTGTGATTATGATTCTCAAGTGTGCTTTTAATGGATCTTTTAGTGCTTTTGTATGATCAGTTTTTATATTGATTTATATTTAATTGATTTTTAATGTTACTGTCTTTTTAACTTTACTTGTATTTCAATTATTATGAGCTTCCTTCTTGCCCTTCTAGCAACAGATCAAGATGTTTCTTTTTAAAAGAGGGTAATTATAACCACAGTGGACAATAAAGCTAGACTCTCCCTAAGATTGTGATTATGATTCTCAAGTGTGCTTTTAACGGATCTTTTAGTGCTTTTGTATGATCAATTTTTATATTGATTTATATTTAATTGATTTTTAATGTTACTGTCTTTTTAACTTTACTTGTATTTCAATTATTATGAGCTGCCTTGAGTCCCTTTATGGAAAAAAGATGGCACAGAAATGAAACGGAATGAATGAAGTGATAAAAACTATTGCCATGCCAGCATAAGGGAACTTTTCCCCCTTCCCTTTCTCAGCTACAATCCTTTATGCTGCCAGAAAACTGGCTCCAAGAGGTTTCCCAAATTCTGGAGCAGGCTTTAGAGGTGTATGGGGAACACCAATAATTCTGTCAGTAGAACCACTCTATTGAATACTGGCCATAGCAACTGAATCTCTGTGCCATCAGACACTGTAGAACACGACCAAGTCACCTTTACTATGTACCTCAAATGTCAGGAATCCAGTTCCTTATTATCTCTCTCGGGGCAATAATTAATGGTCTCTGCTTAGAATAACATTTTCTGGTAGGTTCCAGGCCAATGGGTGTTAAAATTCTCACAATTACAGGGCCATAAAATGAAAGGATTTCCCCCATCGTTGCAAAGATAATGCTACCAAGCTCGCCTGCTTTTGCATTCTATCTGGTCCTTCTAACAGTGTGCCTAGATTAGTCAGCAGGCTTTCATGGGCAAATTTTTGTGTTGGGAAGCATATCACCACGACCCTTTTTTCCAGTATAATCAAAATAATGTCCATTGCACTAATATGCCTATTCCTATGAAATCACACTGCTGTTCCTCTCCAAAATAGCTACATTGTGGGCAAAATACACACATTACCCTGCTGGAGCCTCAATATTGAAGGGAAAATTGTGTAATATAAGAAATGTAAGTCACCAGCAACACTATTTTAAGTGACCCTTGTGCTGAGAAAATGTAAGTAATCACCAATCCTGTGTTGTGGCCTCCCCCAGTCTCTCTAACATGTATTACATTTTACCTTACTTCAAATTCAAATATTGTTACTTTCCTAAGTGGTAACCAATTATGTGGGACTGAGACAGATAAACACTCAGTGGAATAACACCAGGACACGAGGATATGTAGTGGTACACATCACAGGGAAGGAGGAGGGAATTCAATACTGGGTTGTCATTAGGGGCAGCTCTTCGTTTCTTAGGAACATGTGGTTCCACCCTAAGCAATATGGGAATTGCAGCCGCCTGCATTACAGTGTTGCAGGAATCTATGTCACTGCACACACAACATTAGTCTGATTGAGCCCAGTTTGAAGATTCTAATTCTGCCATTGAGTTACCATTTTCTCTTAAGTCTTCATGTACTTCAAAACAGTGTACTGTACTCTGAAAATAAATAAGCAGATAAACCTATCTCTGGAAGATCAACACTTTCTACCACAAGGGGGACAGGAATATAACCTATAGGTGCTGTATTTATTATTCCTGAAGAGGTACATATGCCTCTGAGGGCAAACATTCTACACAAACTTTCAATAACAAGAGCTTTGTGGGGTGGGGAGGTGGGGCAGGGTAAATAGAAGGACATTATGTGCCATCCATCAGAAGTTTTCACAAAAAGCAATGTTAGGCCAAGAAGATAAAATGATGAGTGTCAGCGTTTTTGGGGTTGGGGGCATGAGGACTCATCAGTCATGGAGGTGGTAATGTGAAAGATGAGCAAGATAAATTAAAGCTTGCTTCCTGTAACAATGAACATTACCAGGCTTTGTTAAGAATAGATGTTATCTGGCTCGCTCCTTGGATCTCAACACAAAACAACTGTTTTAAATTTGTGTAAGTACTAGTTCTGGATAGACAGGATGACTTTGCTTGCAAAGGACTCATTTTACACAAGGCAGCTTGCTGCGTAAACCAAGATGTCGTGCTTCCCTCGTGACATTATCAGCGTTACCTGAGGAATAATCGTCAGTCTGGATCGTAAGTCATGAAGGCCGATATCTGCAATTCTCAGCCCATCAATTCTGATTTCTCCCTCCACCGCTTCCAGGATCCTGAAGAGGCTAAGGGTCATAGAGGACTTTCCCGCTCCAGTTCTTCCAACAATTCCAACCTAAGCCATGCATTGGCACGGGAGGGGAGAAAGATGCTCTTAAATTAGGTTTCCAAACAAATAAGGACCACAACAGAACAATTAGACCACCACCGGGCATACTGTCAGCAAGAAAATATAAAACAAAGTGTGTTGACTCTGATTCTTTGAGTAGCCAAGAGTCATCATGTGAGTCATCATGTGAGAAAGACCCCTCAATAAATGAAAGTTTTGTGTTGTTGGGAGACCTGGTGTCTTGGAGGAGTGTATTAGCAAGTGTGATGAAAGGGAAATATATTTCTTCCAAGTAGTCAGCCTTGGATGTCTTCTCTCAAGTTTAACATGCTGCAAAAATCTTAAACTAATTCATACATTCAAAGGATAAGAACAATAACCATTTTAAAAGTAGGTAATGGTCCATTATAAGGAAGAAAAAAAAGTTTATGGGCCAGAATTTTATTTTAATGCTTGTCCAGGCTACAGCTTATGAAGGATGTTCTTCTCCTTTCATCTTGTCTTTATGTCCCCAAAAATGGGAATCAGAAAAAAGACACCTTTTAAATGTATTTACAATATTGTACATTAAACAGAACAGGTTATATTCAGCTATGGCTTTCCTCTACCCAAGGAGTTATTTGAGCCAGTGGAGGCTTCTTTAAACATAAAAGGGAGATGATTTCCTTAAAATGCTCAAATTTTCACTCACATCTGATCTGCTGTTCTGCTACAGGGAGCCCCCGAACCCTTTGAGGGTCTTTTGGATGGCTGTGAGGGAAGAATCAGTACAAATCCTTTCCCACCCTCCATTGGCAGAAATGCCTGCTGGATCAAAGGATCGGTGCCAAATACAACAGCATGAGTTTGATCTAAAAAAAAAAAGTCTTTGCTGATTCTACCCACACCCCATCTTTTCACTGCCCTTCTCTCCTGAAACTCTTTGGAAGTTTGAGGGACTGTCCAGAACAATGGGGCAAGTGATCCAGGGGAGCTTTCTCCTTTTCCTGCCACTGGGTGTGTTTCAAGGATTGCTCTACATGCTCATTGTTGTTGTTGTTCAATCGTTAAGTCATATCCGACTCTTTATGACCCCATGGACCAGAGCATGCCAGGCCCTCCTGACTTCCACTGCCTCCCAGAGTTGGGTCAAAGTCATGTTGGTTGCTTCAGTGACATTGTTCAACCATCTCGTCCTCTGTCATCCCCTTCTCCTCCTGCTTTCACATTTTCCCAACATCAAGGTCTTTTCCAAGGAGTCTTCTCTTCTCATGAGATGGCCAAAGTACTGGAGCCTCAGCTTCAGGATCTGTCCTTCCAGTGAGCACTCAGGGTTGATTTCCTTTAGAACTGATAGGTTTGTTCTCCTTGTAGTCCAGGGGACTCTCAGGAGCCTCCTCCAGCACCACAATTCAAAAGCATCAATTTTTTGGTGATCATCCTTCTTTATGGTCCAGTTCTCACTTCCATACATCGCTATTGGAAAAACCATAGCTTTGACTATGCGGGCCTCTGTTGGTAAGGTGATGTCTCCGCTTTTTAAGATCCTGTCTAGGTTTGCCATTGCTTTCCTTACAAGAAGCAGGTGTCTTTTAATTTTGTGCCTGCTGTCACCATCTGCAGTGATCATGAATGTTCATTCATGCTCATTAGCAGAACGCAAACTCTGGATGCAACTCTATGTTTTAAACTTTGAACCAGAATTGTGCAATGTAGCCTGTTTTTCTGAATATGTGTGTTATGATAAACTAGTCTGGGTGGAATTTTTGAATTAATTCCAACAGAAACAAAAGCAAGTGCCCTCTGTATTGTTGATTACCCTCTAGACCAAGGATAAGAAGCCTCCAACCTGCAGAGGTCTCCTAACTATTTTGCACGTGTCTTCTGCTATTGTGGTCCACAAGATGGCTCCTGCCTTAAATGGCTGTGCTTTGCATTTCTGAGAGCTGACGCACAAAACTGAGATACATCTTGGATTCCAGTGAGCTGCTGTATATGCTGAATGAGCTCTGCTTTGGAACCCAGGAAGTACAGTACTGCTTTCAACTCAATTCCTGAGTTCTATGGGGAAGTACAGCTGACTAGGTTGTGATTCCAGAAGACCTAGTTCTGGCACCAGGACTGAGGTCCCCCACCCCATGTGTGGACTATAATGCGGTACAGTGACTGGTGGTCTGCATCTGAATAAGGCAACTTTTGACGTTCTTGTGTATACACTGAATAAAACCAAAAGCTTGGAAATGCTGGTAAGTGAAAAAGTAATTTCATTCTATGCATGCCCACTTAGTAGCTATGCTGAAATCATACCTTTTCCCCACCTTTCACATGAAGGCTCAGGTCTTTCAGTACCAAGTCTAAACCTTTCCTGTATCTTACAGAATAGTTCTCAAACTGTACTTCCCCATGGGTGGGCCAGTCTTCTGTTGGCCTTTTATCTTCAATTATCCAGGGAGCCTGAAAGAAAGAAAGAAAGAAAGAAAGAAAGAAAGAAAGAAAGAAAGAAAGAAAGAAAGAAAGAAAGAAAGAAAGAAAGAAAGAAAGAAAGAAAGAAAGAAAGAAAGAAAGAAAGAAAGAAAGAAAACATATTATATTAACCTTAAAACATTTTTAATACCAGGGTATAATGTTACACTAAATATTCAGGGATAATTGAATAAGTGTTCCTCTTAAAGATTAACACACACTTTACACAGCTCGTTTGCAGAATCATTTAAACTAAGATGAGTGACCCATTGTGTACACTTCTGTCAGCATGAGAGTCACGAATGATGCCATTGTTACTCTCTGCTCCTCTGTATAGTATCTTGCGAATCTAATTAGTTACACAGGGGATGCCTGCTCTGAAAGGGAAAACTACTTTTCTTCTTTCAAACAGCTTTAGTCCAGCATATACAAAGCACATAATCCCGAAGAGGCTTATTCTAGAAATGTACATGTTCAGGTTAAATGACAATAGCAAAAGAAAATAAGTAGCAAGATGTCCTTGTTCATATGGGACCATGAAAGCTTTCATATTTTACATCTGTCTTCATCAGGCGGAATTGAACATGATGGTTATTTCAAATATTAAGAGAGTGGGTTAGTAGCAGACACTACTACTAACCTCGGGTATTTAATAGGCTTATCAGAAATGGTAAAATCAAGTCGGTACTAGGCACATTTATTTTGATTGACATCCATAGTAGAATTATGAATAGTTTAGCTCTTTCCCACTGAAATCAACCGGGTTTCACAGTGCTATAGGCCAAATTCCTTAATTAATCTGAATGGAATGTCATGATTACAAAAGAGAACAGAAGGTTGTTTAGAGTCAGCTGTACTACTATAACTACAAATATCCTAGAAAAGCAAGGCAGAAATCAAACAGAATCCAGTTAAACACTGGACAGATAGCATCACATCAACATTACAAACAAAGACACATGGCTGCATGTGTGTGCATGCACATACATTCTTAATCAATAGAGGAATTACATATTTATATTACAAACAAATATAAGGGGGAAGGGAAAACAAGAGATTGGAAAAGTTGAATTTTTGGACTACAACGTCCAGGAAAACCTGCCTGTTGATGGATTCCAGTTGTAGTTAAAAAAAAGGCCAACTTTCCCAAGGTCTTGAAAACATACATACTGTAAGCTGGACAGATCAAAAACTCTTAAAACTTCATTTCGAGAAGGAACATTCCCCACAGCGACGCATCAAGAACTCACCTCGGTTTCAGTTTCTGAGTATTCCTTCACTCTTTCTACAGCCACAATGTTGGTTTCCAAATCAGATGTCATTCGTACCATCCAATTCAGAGACATGGTCACCTAAGCAATGATGAAGATATGTCACCTGTTTAAGAAGACTTATGACAGCAGCAAACCATAGCTGCCATCTGTTTGGCTGTTACTACATTTGACCGTTTCCTACACAGAATCTTTGAAATGTAGAACTGAATTTCAGATGACATGATATAGAACTAAATAAAGGGCCAAACCAGTGAAGTTTGGTTGTAGGAGTTGGGACACCCAGGATTTTTCCAGCCAGGGGAAAACTACTAAGCTCTTCCTGCTTGGTCATGGATGAGCGCAGAACTTACCGTGACTTGGGTCCACACTGTGCAAATGGGCAAGCGAAAGAGACCATGTGCAACCTCTTCAGAGAGTACGCAAGAGCAGAAACACAAGGATAAAGTCTCAGGGTTAACCCCATGCCATCTCCATTTTGGATTGACCTCTGAAACCTTTTGAAGTGGCTGCCAATCGAAACATTTGAATGTATTCACAAAGGCTTTCACGGCCAGGATCTAATGGTTGTTGTGGGTTTTTCGGGCTCTTTGGCCGTGTTCTGAAGGTTGTTCCTCCTGACGTTTCGCCAGTCTCTGTGGCCGGCATCTTCAGAGTGCTGTCCTCTGAAGGAGGCCTCTGAAGGCTAACACCTCCCCCCTCTGCCTCCGAACCACCCCCTTGCTGCTGCTGCTCCCCCCCCCCCCCCGCGCCCCCCCCCCCCACCCCCCCCTCAGTACCTAAACCTGCTTTATGTTCGTAGTTCGGATCCCTAGCCTTATCCTTTTCTGGGATGCAGGGGCATCTTTGTGGGGGGGAGGGAAATAAGGGAGCCACTTTAAATTCTGTGAAGTGCAAAGTATGCCTTGGGATCGAGCTGAAAAACGTTCAGCACATCTTCATTTTGGTGAAACAGGATCCCCGAACCAAATTCTACCAGCCTAGTTCATGGATTTTTTTGGTTTGTAGTTTGGTTCATGCTTTATCTCGTGTAGTTGGCGGGAAAAATAACCATAACAGCGACTGATTGGGTACATGTCAGAGAATAAATGCTCCCATTTGGAAGAGCACTGCGTAACATCCTATATCCCCATTTGTGTTCCTTCCTATTCATATCTTCACGTCACCCTCTTTTTAATGAATTTCTCTTCTCTGTTCTTGTTTCATTTCTAGCCTCCTTGCCCTCAAGAAGGGTAAGCTCAGGAAAGAAAGTCCTTGGCCTCTCCACCCAAAAGCTATCCTCTACCTTGCAAGAGCAGCCTTTGAATAAGCCTAATATTCCCACATCTAATCATATTGCAAATCCCTGTAAGAAAAGAAGGATGCAAACATTTAGGAAAATGCGTAGTTCTCCTTAAAGTTTGTAATGGCTTATAATAAGCCCTTATTATAAGCCCACTATTTATCATATTCTATTCAATATAAATATATACTGGTAGTATCCATTGCTTTATCAATTTTAATGTGTGATCCCATTGCTATCTAGGGTAGAGTTTCAATTAATATCCTTCTCCTTGAATAAATCAGCATTCATAGCTTTTAAAGATGAGAGGCGCAGCTCAAATCCTTTGATCCGGCCAAATGCTATAAGTCTGAGCATCTCACAAATCAATTTCTCCACCAGAGATGGCAACTTATGACTGAGCTGTGCCAATGTAATTTTGAAAATGAAACTCAGTCTTTTGCTTCAAGAATTCAAAACGATTAAGAATCTGCCATGACTAAATACACGGTCAACTGGTAGTGGTTTTACGATAATGATGCTGTCCTTAATTAATGCCCTACAGCACAGGAGGTACTGAAGAGAGCATTAAAACCTTAGTGTCGCTTCTTTTCAAAAACAGTAGGATGGTGATATCTGTGGGGGATCAGTTCCACACCCCCTGTGGATGCTGAAAAACACAGAAGTAGCGAACACTATACACTACATGGTCTCTAGCTCCCTCTAGGACAGACCTGGGCAAAGTGCGACCCGAGGGCCACACACGGCCTGCGAGCCACTCCTGTCCAGCCCGCGGACAGTTTTGAACATCAAAACCATTTATAGCTTTTTGTCTAAAGTTGATCGGTTGCTTATCTTTAACATACCACAAAAACTTCTTTAGTATTTGAAAAACAATCATAACATCACTGTTTCATTTTATTTTTAAGTAAAGTTGGTTCGGCCCCCGAACACAGTTCAGATTTTTCATGTGGCCGCTCTATAGAAATTAATTATCCACCCCTGCTCTAGGACGAGTTCAGGTAAATGCATCAAGGGAACACATTAGGATGAGTTCAGGTAAATGCATCAAGGGAACACATTTAAATAGGTATTTAAGGGTGTATGTGTGTTTTTCAGCCAGTGGAAAAGTGAATCAGTGGTTAGTATTTTCAGCAAGTGGAAAAGTGAATCAGTGGATACTGATCCTGTGGATAAGGGGATCTGACTGTACCAAGGAAAACAAGAGGCCTGGGGCAGTTTCCCTGTGCATAAATATGTATGAAAGTGACAGGGGCCTTAACAAATTGATGATCTTGTTAGGGAAACACATTATACACTCAGTCCAAAGCTTCTGCTACTTTTCAGTCTGCACAGAATTTAACAAATGTATTGGGGCTTTTTATTGCTAAAGCACTCAACAATGTATGAAAGTGACAGGGGCCTTAATTGATGATCTTGTTAGGGAAACACAGAATACACTCAGTTCAAAGCTTCTGCTACTTTTCAGTCTGCACAGAATTATGTGTTGGGGCTTTTTATTGCTAAAGCACTCAACAGATAAATTTACATTGACATTCCAGAGCCTTCAGAAAGGATTCCCTTTTATGGCCTATTTTGCTCTTTATTCTTTTCCTGTTTTTTTCCCAAAAAACTGCATTTCCTTCATGCCAATTTGCTCCATTCTTGCCTCTCTTTGTTCAACAAGAACAGAAAGATTGCAGCACCGTACAATTAAAACCAGAACACCTAATGAAAAGGTCAAACTACAGTGACACTTCCAGCTCCCTGCTTACATGAGCTATCCCCTGAAACACAATTTACGCACCTGCAAGGCATAAGACACAGAGAGTCCAACCAGGCCAGCACTCAGGGTGTTTTTGCTTAAGACAGCAAAAAGGGCTGCAAAAAATACAACACAGTTCCCTACAAATTCAACTCTAATTCCAAGCCACCTGTTAAATGAAAGAAAGACACAGATGTGCAAGTCAGAACAAGGCTTGGCAGATAAAAATGCAATTTATTCAGTTCAACAGTTAAAACTTTCCCTTTTGCTTTCCTCTTACCTGTTGGATACAATTCCAGGGTAGTAACTTTTCTGGTTATCATTCACTTTAGTGTCACTGATCATAACGAAAGCTTTCTCCCTTCTATAAGCTCGGATGACACTTGTTCCTGTGACTGTTTCCGAAAAATGGGAATATATGGGCGACCTGCTCACAGATTCCAGCCGCTTTAATTGGCGAGAAGTAGCTACGTAAAACCGCTGCCATCATTCAATGCAATGGATAAAGATTAAAAACAGAAAACAAAATGTTTTAGACATTGCACTTGAACTGTGAATACCTTGTATCCCTGATGCTCTACAAAGTCTCAGGATGAGAATATATATATATATATTGGAAAGCGGAAACTGTAACTAATTCCAATATAATCCCACCCTAATCCTTCTTTAAACCTCAGAACAATTTATAAGACATCCAAAGCAAATAGTAAGACTTCCTCTGTGCTATACCAGCCTGCAGCGTTTGCACGACTGAATGCTCTGGTACAAAAACCTTTTGCACACAGTAAAACAACATGCCAGGCTAATCTTCTCCTGTGATATGCTAGTTCTATTATGCAGATGGTACGTGTTTTACAGAGGAGCATTCAAGTATGTAAATCCCAATTTGTAGCCTGAAATCGTATATTAGTATATTACTATATAGTATATATAGCACCATCACTCCATCCTGATGACTATAGAAACTACCTATATGTCTGCTAACTGGATTTCGACCGTTGTTATTCTTTACATCAGTACCCTGCCTATCCATCAAGGTAATTTTCATGGCTCCCCTTTCCACCATTTTGTCCTCATTACAGTCCTGTCAGAGAAGGTCAAACTGGAAAAAGTACAAATGGCCCTTCCATGATCACCTAAGGAATTTTGTGACCATAAACACTTTAAATCCAAATGTCCTATAAAGCCAAATGTCCTAACCTATAAAGCGCTAAATGGCTTGTGTCCAAACTATCTAAAAGACCACATCTCCCTTTATGAGCCTGCCTGGGCTTTGAGATAATCAGGGGAGGCCTTTCTCTCAGTCCCACCACCCTCACAGGTGCATTTGGTGGGGACACGGGAGAAAGCCTTCTCTGTTGCTGCTCCCAGATGTTGGAACTCCTTTCCATGGGAAGCTAGACTGGCCCCATCTTTGCTGTCCTTCTACAAGCATTCCAAGGTCCACGGCTCTTTGTTTTAGGATTTTACTGGAGGTGTCCCATTTTTAGACAGGCTTTCCCTTAATAACTGGTGGTCTGAGAGGGGCTTGTAAATGGATTGTTGTGCTCTGATGTCTTAGATTTTTTTAGTACTGATTTTTATTACTGTTTTTAAAAACTCTAGCTGCCTAGAGTGGTCCTGATCTGACCAGATAGGTGGGATATAAATAAAATAAATAAATAATACTTGTTTAATTCTTTTCAAATATTTATATGCCTACTGTTTTTTGCTTTTGAATATTGTCTTTTTGTAAGCTGCCTTGGATGTTTTTTCTTTAAGGAGAAAGGTGGCGTAAAAATATTTAAGTAAATAAATAATAAATAAGTTCTTCTCCATCATCATGGAATAACTGATGGTACCATGATAGAAGAGGAGGCCTGTCAAGAAGACTGCAAGGGGAACAATTGTACTAGCATCAAAATGTGGTTCACACACTCCACTTAAGCTGCCCTCCGTGACACCGGGTGAATAAGGAGGTTCAGATCCTAAGGAAATCATTTTCTTGCTGCTTGTTATACCACTCCCCCTTTTGGGAAGCCATTTCTCTCCTCCTTTACCTTTACTGTATATAGAAAAGGCAAAGCCTTTAGGAAAAACATAATGATATATATTTTCTCTATGTTATATGGAAGATGAAGAAAATGAAATGTAAAGTGCCCTCCAACTATTAGCATGGCAGCACCTCGAATATTCCCTGCAGAATTGAAACCTTCTTGATTAATTGGTTCAGTTGATCTATTACTACAGTCAATGAATATATTATTCACATCATCAAACATGCTTTTCTTGATTTAGGGAATGCTTTCAAAATGTTTATTTTTAAGTGCCTGGTCTGTGTAATTTAAAGCTTGAGAAACTATTATGAAAAGGAAATCAAAGAGAGCAGGCAGTGCTATTGCAATAGATGAAAATAAAAAGTAAAAGCTATTAATCCACTTAATGTATTCATAAATAATTAACAGCTCTAGAGATGTCAGTAATCTATGCCTGCTCTCCACAACATATGCTTGAGGTTCCTGGCATTGACCTGGGAATGCCCAAGATTTAAGTTATATCCACACAAAGCTTCACTGAGAGAATTTTATGGGAGTCCAGCTGAAACTATCTGCCACCATTTAGGATCCTCTCCCTTACTTTCCTCTCCCTTCTTCTGTCTTTTTTCTTAGGGGAACAAAAAAAAATCGTTATAGAGGACGAGACAAAATGCTACAAAATGTCCTTTGACGGGCAGTGCTAGGAGCACCTTCCTTAGAGGAAGGCATTTTTTCCAAGTTGAGGTACAGAGGGAACCAGGCAGGTTAACATTAGCTCTTGGGATTGACAGGCATTAATATAATTTGTGTTTTGCTAGGACTGGTATGATGGATGGGAGCTTGACTTTCTCCTCTTGCTTGGTCCACTGAGTGGCATCTTCAGCCTGATGCACACCCCACTCCAAAACAAGTGCTAGTTCATTCTTCTGCTCAAGAAAGGGTGAGATGAGAAATCGGCATCCAGATCCAGAGATAGGTTTAATCCACAGTTGTGGCTTGATCCTGACAGAATCATGGTGTGTTATTTATTTAATGGAGGTTTGTTTGTTTTTTTAAATCTCCAATTTATACCCTGGAGACCACAGAGCAACAGTGTTGTAAAGGTCTGAAAGGCTGTGAACCTTTGTGCCAGACTTTCCCTCCCGTTGCTTACATGGTTCAGCCAGGCTTTGTTGACCACAGAAATCTCCAAGGGCAGAATAAGCGTCTTACAGGAAAATGCGTAAGCAGCAGGTAGCTGAAGATGACCCACATGAGCCATCCTCACCACAGGAGTGGGAAGGGCTAAATGATCAGAGGAAACCCTTTTTTCTCATAGGCAGTGACTTTGCCCTAAAGAAGCGGAAGGCTCCAAAAGCAGTGTTACAGGTTATTGCTTGCTATATGGAACTGGTAATGTCGCCGCTTGTAACATATTACATCCCCTAAAGCAGGGGAAAGTGCTCTAATCAATCAAGAATTTAATACGTTTCTTCAGTGTGAATAAAATACAAAGAGCTGGACTACTGAATGGAACGGATTACATCACACCATATCTTTATCAGCAAAGGTTTGAGAAGTTAATCGATTGAGATTTGTCTACTTGGCTTCTTAAACAAAAGAAAGAAATAAGCGTCTCCTGGAAGGCGTATTTGAGTCCAACCTTGCTATATTCATGCTCTTGCCTATCTACGTTTTCTTTTAATTCGATATGTGAAAAGTCAATAAAAAGGAAATTAAAAAGAGAGCATTTGAAGGGAACATGCTGGCAGCTGTTGTGAAGGATTCAGAAATGGAAGAGAGTTTTCCACAACTTTCATGATGGTTCAGCTGAGCAGCTTATGGCCCACAGGCAGTCCATCAGTTTTTTTTTGAAAAATAAATATGTATTGCAGAAAGCAATCTTGATGTGAGTGAAACCCTAGTTTCATCACAGTAACCAAATTAGTAAGGACCGGTCTGCTCTGCCTGGAATGAAATCAGAAAAAGTTCTGTCTTGTGTCCATGTACATACAAAGTAGCTACAAATTTGAGTCTCTATACAGTAATAATCAGAGAAAGATTATATCATCTATTCTCCATTATATCACAGTTTCTGAACATGATGAACCAGCTACACAGATGGGTAAACTAATAATAAGATGCCTCAAGGAAAATTGTGGGTTGAACGAGATCCCTTTAATTTCAAGCATCAATTCAATCTAGTGAGGTTTTATTAAACAACAGAATAGGCAGCTTAGTTAATTGACCTCCGCACAACTCCATAAGTGGGAAGATCATAAAATAATACTAGCTGCACCTACACCAGTAGCCACCTCAATCTGATAAAGAGATACCAGAATCAAAGGCTATAAAATGCGACACCTCCACTGCCAGTAAAATCATAAAACAAAGAGCCGTAACCTTGAAATGTGCTGTGATCAGAACTTCTGGATTGTAAATGCACAAAACGATATGGGAGGATCAGCAGGTTAATATACTAGAATATTTTTCTTTAGTCATGACCATACCTTGTAGGTGAAAAGCAAAGCAAGACCAGTATATTTTAGATATCACTGGGCCATCCATAATTTCTAAAAACTGTCTTAAAGGAAGGGATAGCCTGATGCCAAAGTTTTATTTGCCATATTTTTGAGACATTACCATTATATTTAAAAGAACAGACCAAAATGTTGGAAATGTTTCCTCCAGACAGTTGCCTCACACTCTGATTTTGCAGATCAAGTTGGAAATGACAATCATTTTGCCTGTATGGAAATAAACTTGATATTTTCTGTACCTTATCTTGCTTTTTATTGATTTGTAAATGCTAGGTTTGACCTCACAGTCCATTGAGGTCTCTACTCAACTCCTACACTCACATAGGGAGTTCTCTGTGACTAAGTGAAGTTACTCTTCAGCTTATGGCTGGCAAAAAGAGAAGGCCTAATGTGGGGTGTGGTGGCACTGTGGGTTAAACTGCAAAGACTCTGGGCTGAAAGGTTGAAAGATCAGCAGTTTGAATCCACATGACAGAGTGAGCTCCCGTGACTTGTCCCTAGCAGTTCGAAAGCATGTAAAAATGTGAGTAGAAAAATAGGTACCACCACGGTGGGAAGGTAACGGCATTCCGTGTCAAGTCATGCTGGCCACATGACCACGGAAACTGTCTATGGACAAACGCTGACTCCATGGCCTGGAAACGGGGATGAGCAATGCCCCCCTAGAGTCAGACACGACTAGACAAATTGTCAAGCAGAACCAATGTGAAAGACATCCATAAACTAAGACAAAATTTGTCACATCATCTAGCCTTCTGGTTTTGAAAAATTATTAAGTGCAATCAAGCAACAGTCAAAGACGAGGTGGGGTATTTAGCTCTGTGAAATACCTGGGCAAAGAAGTACAGAACCGCTAGAGGTATTATAACCACTGCAAAGAGAGGAGTGCTTGCCATGATCACAATCAAGGTTGATACAGAGACAAAGAAGGTTCCCAGGAACATCAAGATAGTTGGCGGTATCACTTCATCAATCACGTAGATGTCCTTGGAGAAGCGATTGATAATCCTGCCGATTGGAGTTGTGTCATAGAAAGACTGCGGGGTGTGAAGCTTGTTTGCCAGCAGTGCTGCATGGAGAGCACGAGCTGCCCTGATGCCACCCATGGCTAAGGTAAAGGAGGAGATCAACACAATAACCCCTGTTTACAAAAGGCAGAAAGACACAGAAGACCATTAAGTGCCTTGCTTGTAGGTAGGTCTGTTCTCCCAATAACCCTGAAAACATCTGTTGCTTAAGCAACAACTTTAACACCCTCATTTATCTTGACATTTGATCGTAGGAAAAACACTGCATAACCAGTGAAGCCCCACTGAACAGCAGTCAAGGAAGTACAACTCAGAGCTAGTATTGTTACAGCTTAGTACACAAAGCCTGACATACACTTCTGGTTCTTAAGCTCTGCTATACTGAGGACTAATATTTTGGCTTTTTTGTGATCTCCCTTTCATCTAACAAAATCCTGCTGTGGAGTAGCACTGGCAAACTGACACTAATTGATGAGTCGCTGCTTTGATTCCTGTGCACACACCAAGTCACTTGTTAGCTACTTGTTAATTCGCAGCCCTGAGTGCTCACTGGAAGGACAGATCCTGAAGCTGAGGCTCCAATACCTTAGCCATCTCATGAGAAGAGAAGACTCCCTGGAAAAGATGCTGATGTTGGGAAAGAGTGAAGGCAAAAGGAGAAGGGGACGACAGAGGATGAGATGGTTGGACAGTGTCATCAAAGCTACCAATAGGAATTTGACACAACTAAAGGAGGCAGTGGAGAGACAGGAGGGCCTGACGTGCTCTGGTCCATGGGGTCACGAAGAGTCGGACACGACTAAACAACAACAATTAGCAGCAGTTTGCTACTGTGAATTATACCACTGTCCTTCCACCTGTGTAACTCCACAACAGGATTTTGGCCATTGCAATTATTATCAAATGTGAGGCTACAGGAGAGACCTCAAGTTAGAAGTGAGTTTTGTGACTGGCCAGGTGTGTCCGGAACAACCATCAACACAGCCAAGGATTCCTTTGAAGCTTTCAAAGCAACCATAGGGATGACCCTGACAACATAAGTGACACTTCTGTCTCTTCAGCATTTTAAACATCACAGGAACAAACTTAGCAAGGTAGGTTCAAGTTTGGAGTCACTGACAGAGAAGTGCACACATATAGACAGACAGACAGACAGACAGACAGACAGACAGACAGACAGACAGACAGACAGACAGACAGACAGACAGAGGTAGCCATGTTGGGCAAAGACTTTGAAAAATTACTTTTTTTGGATTATAACTCTCAACTCCCAACAGTCTTGCTGCCTGGGGGGATTCTGGGAACTGTAGTCCACAAGAGAACCTTTCCAAGCCCTACTTGAACCTAAGGAGGAAGGATGATAACAAAGAAAACATTTACCTTGTAAGATGCCCAGGGCAGCATAGACTCCAATTCGCATGTGCACATTCTGCTGGGTGCCATTTATTACAGGTTCATTGGTCCAGGCACTGAGCCATACGTTGGCCCCAATTGAAGCAGCATTTTGACAGCAGAACAGGAAACATATAAATAAAGATACTATAGGGCCAACAGCCTTCATGTATTGCCAGAAAACAGTCAGCTTGACCTGCAGTTTGATATCAAAGAAGTGAATTGAAAAAAAACTGATGCCTGAAGCCCACAAGAAGACTAAAAACTTGCCAAAGGATTTATCCACTGAACATGAAAGCCAAAAATCTCCAACATGAAATCTTTCTATGCCAAGTAATCACCAGATGCAGAAAATTGTGAAGACAGAAAATATGGCCACAACAGATAGATGAGCAAGATAGAGACATCATATCAAATGATTCTACTGAACTATATGGAAAAAGAAGCAATATTTTCCTAGGCAATACAGTAGTGCCTCACTTTACGATTGCCCCGTTTAACGATGAAACCGCATTATGATGAACTTTTTGCGATCGCAAAATGATGTTTCCTATGGGGGAATTTCGCTTTGCGATGATCGGTTCCCTGCTGCGGGAACCGATCCTTCGCAAAACGACGATTTTCCAACAGCTGATTGGCGGTTTCAAAATGGCCACCAGGTACACAAAATGGCCCCCCACTGTTTTCTGGGACGGATTCCTCGCTGCACAGGCAGCGAAAATGGCCACCCTATGGAGGATCTTCGCTGGATGGTGAGTTTACAGCCCTCTGGAATGCATTAAATGGGTTGTAATGCGTTTCAATGGGTTTTTTCTTTTCGCATTATGTCATTTTCGTTCTACAGTGATTTCGCTGGAACAAATTAATATCGTAATGCGAGGCACCACTGTATTAATGTTTGGCATGTCTACACAATAAAGAACCTATTGCTTTCTATGGCATTAAAAAAAATTGAAGCAGTAACATTCTTCCACTTTATATGTGTTTGCAAAGCAAGGAATATGCACCATAAAGCAATCCACTTTACCATTTATGGCAGCTCTTCAGAAGGATTTTTATCTTGATGATAATATAACGCAACTACGTATGGACGATTCTTCCAGATACATATAACATCTAGCAAAATATTACTGAGTGAAACCCAGTGACCTGTACAGCCATGATGTCACACAGAGCTTGTGACCACAATTTGATCCTGCACACATTTGTTACGCATTGCTGCTCTGACTGGGCCTTTAGTACTACAGTACTTGTGTTTATCATATCTCTGAGTGGTATTTGTTTGTTCCTTTTTAGTTTTTGCATACTTATTGTAAATTATTAAATGTTGTAAGCAGCCCAGAGACCTTTGGGTAGTGAGGATCACATATAAGTTAATGAATGAATGAATGAATGAATAAAAAGTAAAGGTTGCTCACAATGGTGCCAGGCACTGAAAATTTAGCATGTTTGGCACCTAACACCGAAGGATGACAACCAATAGATGTTGCTGATGACTAGAGGTTGTTATTTAGCTGATATTGATGAAGGCCAAGCATATGTATTTCTGGATGCCTCATCACACCATGCTTCTGTTTTATGCTTCTTTATTTGCTTAGGCATTGGAGGGCCACATAAAAACCTCCAGATGTTGAGCTGCAACTCTCTTTATTTCACACCAGCCTCTATGCTTGCAGTCTAACAACATCGGAAGAGCTCTATTTCTGTCCTTGAGGAGCCTTGTGGTGCAGTGGTTAAAAATGCAGTGATGCAGTGAAGACTCTGCTCATAACCTGTTTGATCCTGGACTCAGGTAGCTGGTTGGAGGTGGACTCGACTTTCCCTCCTTCCTAGGTTGGCAACTTGAGTACTGAGCTCATGGGGGATGGAGGGGCAATGTATAACTTGCATAACTGTAAACTGTGCAGACAGATCTTTGAGAACTATGGGGTGACATATAAGTAGCCAAGGTTCCCTCTAAGCTGTGCTGGCGTGTAGGGGCGTGCCGCTCCATTGGGCGCACACAGCTGAGCAAGTGTATCCCGCCTGTTCGCTCCCATTTGTGGCTGGAACTTCGTGCACAGGGAGCGGAGCCTCCACACAGAGCTCCGGAGAATTGGTCACAAAGTTAAAAATGGCTAAGACACATCATAGTGTGTTCAAACTCATCTGCTGCTTTCATTGTAAAAAGGAACAAACAAAAAACTCAGGCAAGCAAAGACAAACAAGGAAAAAAACAACCCAGCTAACAACTAATAAATACTATACCTTCCTTTGTTATGTCATGAGTAACCAATGTCTGTAGGCATTGTTAATCAATGGATATAAAATAATTATGATCAAGGACATAATTTAAATCTTTTTAATTTAATGTGTTGGACTCTTTAGCAAAATAATTCTCTGGGGAAAAATGTACTGCCCTACAATTAATCAAAAGGCAACTTAAAGCTTCAATATTTTTTTTTCTTGTTTTATTAAAATCAAGATGTTCTTACTGTGCCAGTTTCAGCTGTTTCTGCCTCAATGAGTTTCTCAGGTGAACCTTTTTTGGGGACGGGAGGCTCAAGTGGCTTTTTATCACACACCCTCCTTTTGGTTGACATTTTGCTCGGGCATTCCCCATCTGAAGATATTACACTGAGTTGTCTAATTTTTTAAAAAAAAGAGAATGAGAGAGAGAGAGAGAACAAAAGAACGGTGACTGTTAGGCTGCTGAACTTCAGGACAAGCAAATGCACTTTGATTTCTATGGCCAAGGGCACAGTCTTTAGAGGGGTCGTTTGACTACATAGGCGGGGTATAAATGCAATAAATAAATAAATAAATTAGAAGCAGGCCCTGAGGTTACCTGAGGAACTGCTTGCGGACTTCGTTGGTCACTGGTTCGCTGTCTGCCAGATCTGTATGGTTGCTGAGTGTATCTTCAGCAAGCAAGACCTCCTCATCCTCTATGACTGCAAAGGGAGAGCAAATTTTTAACTTATGTAGCCTTTCTCTTGCACAAGACGCCTGTGTTGAGTGCACTGCTTCCTAAACTATAAAAAGTGAGAACCACGTGGAAATAAGTAAATCATCTCAGTTCTTCGAAAATAATAAACTCCAGCATATTCAGGTCTCTAAGCTTCCCTTCAAGTTCCATTTAACCATGTGATTTGGGTGGCTTACGAGGCTGGACCTGCTTAAAAAAATATAGACAATTAGGACCCCAATATAGTGGTGCCTCGCTTAACGACGATCCTTCCCTTCCAGTTCCATTTAACCATGAGGTTTGGGTAGCTTATGAGGCTGGACATGCTCCAAAAAAATCTAGACCATTAGGACCCCAATACATGCTCTTAAGAAGTGATCACAAAGGTCCCAGATGATCCTGGAATCTCTGACTGTAGTACATTAAAGTGAGGTTTACTTTTAAGGAAACTAGCTTTAAGGAAGAGCCTCGTGGCGCAGTGGTTAAACCGCTGTACTGCAGCCAAAACTGTGCTCGATCGCAAAAAGATCATTGTATAGCAATTTTGTCATAATGCGGGGCAATTGTTAAGTGAGACACCACTGTAAACGCTCTGAAGAAGTGATCACAAAGGTCCCAGATGATCCTGGAATCTCTGACTGTAGTACATTAAAGTGAGGTTTACTTTTAAGGAAACTAGCTTTAAGGAAGAGCCTCGTGGCGCAGTGGTTAAACCGCTGTACTGCAGCCAAAACTGTGCTCACGACCTGGGGTTCAATCCCAGGTAGCCGGCTCAAGGTTGACTCAGCCTTCTATCCTTCCGAGGTCGGTAAAATGAGTACCCAGCTCGCTGGGGGGGGGGCAATGTGTAGCCTGCATAATTAACTTATAAACCACCCAGAGAGTGCTTGAAGTGCCATGGGGCGGTATATAAGCAGCACGCTTTGCTTTTTTGCTTTTACTCGAGCACTTGTCCCGATCCAGCCATGGGAATGTGATTACTATGCAAAGGAATGAAAGGAAGATGAAAAGATTTCTTACTCAGTACATTAAAGTGATGTTACTCAAGCACTTGTCCTGATCCAGTGATGGGAATGTGATTACTATGCAATGAAAGGAAGATGAAAAGATTTCTTACTTTTGACCCTAAGTGCAGCCAGTTTCCTTAAAAGTAAACCAGACTACAAAAAGCTTCTGGTCCACTCAGTTTTAATTCTAATGGAAACTTTTTTTAAAAATTGGTCTTACATGTTACTTAGGTGTGTTTTTTTTTCATTTTCTCCCTGGTTTTCAAATTTGTCCTTATATGAATAAGTGCTCATCTTTTCATTTACATATCAAACACAACCTCTTAAGCCCCAGTTCGAAACTGTTCCCAGCCTCTAATCTAACAGATTAAAGACATCAAAAGACACACGTGCGGGTGGTGGGAGCGAAACACAGGAAAAATGGTCTCACTTGTTGGCTCATCTTCTTCTATGTCTTCATCAGGGGCATAATTGCGCAGGAAATCTGCAAAGGACCCATTTTGTTGCAGAAGCTCTTGGTAGGACCCCATTTCAGAGATTTTACCATCCACAAGAACCACAATGTGGTCCACCTGGGGCAAAAAATTGATGCCATGGGTCACCAAAATGCGAGTCTGAAAAATGAAAACAGAACAGGGATCAAAAGATACCTTGCTAACTTCAAAGTATTCTTAACAACAGTGTGAATGAGAATAAACACAGAAGAGGCTTCTCGTCAGGAAGTGAATGACAACTACAAATTGTCGTCAGGTGAACAAGATGTTTGTGCATTGCTGGGGTTGGTTAGGGTTGATTTTGGCTTGGCAATTATTAGTGGCATGGAAATCTGAGCTTCACCAAGTAAAAGACAAAGGATTCATTTAAAAAAATCTAAAGAGGAACCAGAACAGTCTCAAAACATACCATATTTTACCGTGTATATGACCCCCCCCAATGTATAAAATGATCCTCTAATTTTGACCCTTGATGGAGGCAGAGGAGCAGCTAATGGGCAACTGCTCCTCTACCTCCGTCTCCTGCTGCTGCTGTCTCCGCTGCCCGCCCGATTACTTCCTATCTCATTCTTCATTGCACTGTCTACTCAGACTGTCTACTCAGGTTCAATGACTGAATTATATGCAACAAGGTCCTTGGCTCCTGTTTTAAGAACATGATTAGGAGAGGACATGACTTGTGTAAAATGACAACCAAGGCTTGTGGATTTCCACCACTGCATTTAACTTGAGCACTGCAGGAAGGAGAGAGAAGGTGTTTGTGGCTACAACGTAGGCAGGAGCCTGGGCTACTGCAGGTCCCCCTTATTGTTCTTTTAGTAGTACTACCAAAGTACAGTAGACCCTCGACTTACAGACGGCTCAACTTAAAGACTTTTCGAGTTACACACTTCTCTGGCTGCAAAATTTAGATTCGACTTGCAGGTGGAGAATCGACTTACAGACCAGAAAAAAACCAAAATGGAACAAAAATAGAATAAAAACTGCCAGTTGTGGGATTAATCAGTTTTCAATGCATTGTAGATCAATGGAGATTCGACCTACAGACTTTTTGGTTTACAGCCACCGTTCCAATATGGATTAATTCCTTAAGTAGAGGATCCACTGTATAAAGCTGGCTGGGTAGCTCACTGTTCTAGGTATCTGGCTGCAAAGCCAGAAGTTGTGAGTTCAAATCCCCACTGTATCTCCTAGAGGAAGAGCCAGCCTGTGTGGCTCTGGGCAAACTACACAGCCCCAGGAGGACCCCCAGAAGAAAGAAATGATAAACCACTTCTGCGTACAATGGAGTCTCGACCTACGAATGGCCCCACTTACGGACTTTTTGACCTATGTACAGCTCCAGCCGCAAAATTTTGGATCAACTTGCGGCCGGAGCTTCGACGTACAGACGAAAAGGTCAGGGTAAAAGGGCAGGAAATTCAAACTGTTGGTGGCGAAGAGGCTGTCCCACTGTATCTCCTAGGGGAAGAGCCAGCCTGCGTGGCTCTGGGCAAGCTACACAGCTGCAGGAGGACCCCCAGAAGAAAGAAATGATAAACCACTTCTGCGTACAATGGAGTCTCGACCTACGAATGGCCCCACTTACGGACTTTTTGACCTATGTACAGCTCCAGCCGCAAAATTTTGGATCAACTTGCGGCCGGAGCTTCGACGTACAGACGAAAAGGTCAGGGTAAAAGGGCAGGAAATTCAAACTGTTGGTGGCGAAGAGGCTGCTTCTTTAGCTCTTTTGCCCCAACAGTTTGGAAAAGGGAGGGAGCCGGGCGGTGGGGGAGAAAGGCAGGAGCCAATCCGGTCTTTCTCCCCCACCGCGAGGCTTCTCCCAAAACACTGTGCCCGATGGAGTTTTCAGCAGCAGAGAAGCCTCACAGTGGATTTACTGTCTCAGAAAGTAAGCTCTGATTACTGAAACTTCTGCACTAATCACCTATTAAGATAAGGAAAACAGTTCACACACATAATTTCTTCTACAATACTGAGGATTACAAATGAGAATCTCTTTCTAAAAGGAAACCTGAGATTCTACACATGCCGCCATGGTCTTTACTAGGCATCACTGCTTGCAGGCATAGAGATGTTTAGATTATTGTGGCCTCACTTTTCCTTTAAGAGCTCCTTCTGGTCCAACGACTTTGTCAAAGATATGCTTGGCCACATGGGAATCCACCGCTGAAAGAGGATCGTCTAGCAAATAAATGTCAGCATCACTGAACGCCGCACGGGCCAGGCTCACCCGTTGTCGCTGGCCACCTGAAAGGTTGATGCCCTGGATGAAAGGAAAAAGAAGCGTGTCACAACTTTTAAATTCAGTGGTGTTATCAGTTCTCATTAGGAGAGAGGCCAAAACAATTAAATGGCCCATGTGATCAAGAACCCAGCTGTTTCATTACAACGTTCATGAGAATGTTGCCAGTTTAGAGCTACTTCTAGAGATCCATGGGTCACATCTGCCTCCTCCAGACCTCACCCCTGGCTCTAAAAATCCTAAATGATCCTCAGTACCTCCCAATATCTTATTTTCACTGGGCTGTGAAGAGCTACTTCCCCATATTTTTTTTCATCCCTGTTTTGTTTTAGACCCAGTTATTTTTCTAGTACTCAGAGTGACCAGCAATCATTCTCAGTTTTGAAAAAGCCCTCCCCTTGGCCCTAATCCAGGTTGACAAAGACATGGCAAAAATGTCCTCCACACCTTAGAAGGCACGAGAAGCTGGTTTGATTTTTTAAAAAAATATGTGGAAGGTTTGAGAGCCATGGAGAGGTCAGTGGCCCTAGAGGAACCACACAGGGAAGCCAGGGGACCACATGAGGCTATCTCTACTTCAGACTGATAGTAATCTCACTCATGAGAACATCAGGCATAGACTCACTCCAGCTAAGATTGGCAATACTGTGCATCATTCCCCGCTTCAAAGCTGTTGCCATGATGGCTGATAAAAGAGATTTTTACACACACAGTCAAGCAACTAACAAACTGGCCATGTGGTCGCTGCATTAAAGGGCAGCTGCTTTCAACATTCACATATTTATTTATTTGCTGTGTCTCTGCTGCCCTTCAAGTCAAGGACTCTCAAGAGTAGTGACATCAGAACTCTAAACATGTAAAATTCAAAAGTTTAGAAACAGGGCCACAGATAGAAGCAGAACAACTGACTCATGCTAGCTGGACACATAACTTTGTACTAATTACTGAAGCAGACAATCATCCTTTCATGGCTGTCTGAAAGGCAAGCGAAGAAGGAGCAATCTGAGGAAGATTTAGAAGGGAGTTAGATCAATTTAGGGAAGATGGTGCTATCAGTGGCTACCAGTACTGATATACTAGTTTTCATATGCTCAAACCTGTTTTGGACAGACTGAAAAAGGCAACTTAAACATCTCTCAATAAACAAATAAAATATGATGCCTCTGAAGATTTGCTGGTTGGGGGGAATAGTGGGAGAAGGATATTGTCCCTAATGTCCGGCTTGTGAGCCTCCCATGGGCATCTAGTTCGCCAGTGTGAGAAATAGGGTGCTGAAACACAGAGGCCATTGGCCTGAGCCCGCATGACTCTTTTTGTGATTCTCATGGTACAGAATATGGTGATACACTTGAAGAGTAGTAATATTCTGGGGAAATTGTTTCAGAGAAAAGTTAACACGTAGCCTATGCTTACACATTGAGGGTATTTCTTATCATAGTTGTTCTTTTAGATCAGATTGGTTAACAAACAGAGGAAGGGTATTTCTTATCACCTTAGTTGTTATTTTAGATCAGATTGGTTAACAAACAGAGGTTATTAATACACTCCTGAATCATGAATACAAAGCATCATCTGCTGTAGCAATTTGGGTTCATCTTGGTGGGTCACTTCTCCTCTCTGGATGGATTCAAGACATTGTACAAAAACAGGCTGCAGCATTTTAAAGCAGGGATGCAGAGATTTTAATAACCAATACCCACTGACGCCTAAAAAATGGCCCTAATGAATGATGTGTGGACTGCTAAGGACTGCCTTGGATCCAGTGGTATCTTTCCATTTTAGGTGTTTCTGGAGAAGGGATGTGGTGGCGCTGTGGGCTAAACCGCAGAAACCTGTGCTGCAGGGTCAGAAGACCAAGCAGTCGTAAGATCGAATCCACCCAACGGAGTGAGGGCCCGTCACTTGTCCCAGCTCCTGCCACCCTAGTGGTTCGAAATCATGCAAATGCAAGTAGATAAATAGGGACCACCTCGGTGGGAAGGTAACAGCATTCCGTGTCTAAGTCGCACTGGCCATGTGACCACAGAAGATTGTCTTCGGACAAACGCTGGCTCTGTGGCTTGGAAACGGGGATGAGCCCCACCCCCTAGAGTCGAGCACGACTGGACAAAAATTGTCAAGGGGAACCTTTACTTTTACCTTTACCTATTCAGGCATTCAAAAGGTGTGTCCAGTCACATAGGGGCATGGATAAGAAGAGAAAATGTAAACATATGTAGAGTGCATGAATAGTCGTAACCAGCAGACACTCTTTGAAAGGCCTGCTATCAAATTGGAGGCCTTATTTCCCATGAAGACTTTAATGCTGTGGCACTTATTTTTCAATTTAGTGCTAAACTAGGTGATAGAGACAGCATGTTAGAATGGGAATTCCTTAAGTGCTTTAAAAGCTCTGCTTGTCATGGTCCAGGATCCCTTTACCTCCTATAATTTGAATATTACTTTGTTGGTTTTTGATGCCTGGTCATCAGGAAGTAAATATGGACTTGAGAATCCATATCCAGCACAGAACAGCTTCCAGCTTCTGATTATGTGCTATCTGTATTACCTGCTTGGATCTTAAGAAAGACAGTATGGGAGGGTTGAGAGGAGAAATAGAAGATCTTTATTCTCACAGCTCTGATTTCTGTCCTTGCTTTCCTTCAGTTCACCTCTTAGAATACCTTACTGGAACCCAGAACCTAAGATTTGCATTTCTAGTCTAGATCCCTCATTGCTCTTTTGTGATGTTTTCAGTCCCTTTTAATTTTCTTGGCAGCTCTTGGGCATCCATCCATCCATCCATCCATCCATCCATCCATCCATCCATCCATCCATCCATCCATCCATCCATCCATCCATCATCTTGTTATCAAAGAGTGGTGCTCAAAGCATGAGAAAACACTGATAAACCACCTTAAAACAATTAAAATATAAACAGTTTAAAAACACAATTAAAATACATTGATAAATGGTTAAAGTTCCCTTCTATAGTATCATCTGTGATTGTTGCTGTGGTCCTTACCTTCTCGCCTATTTCAGTCTGATCCCCCCCAGGCAACATCTCAAGATCTTGTTTCAAGGCACATGCCTCTAAGACAGTTTGGTACTTCTGCTCATTATGGGGGCGGCCAAACAATATGTTATCTTTCAAAGTGGCATTCTGGATCCAGGCTATTTGGGGTACATAAGCAACTGAACCCTGTAAGGAGTTATATAGAAACAGACACAGACAGAGAGAGGTCAGTTTACAAGGCACATAGATTAATAAAAGTTCAAAGTTGATAAAATGCTGTTTTGCAATATTGTGGACCAACCTTCACAGCCACTTCCCCACGGAGCTTCTCCATTTCACCAAGAAGTGCTGACACCAGGGAAGACTTCCCACAGCCCACATGGCCAACAACAGCCACCAAAGAGCCAGTAGGGACCATCCAATTTATACTGTATGAAAAGACAAAGTGGGGAAACCAGTGTGGGATTCTTTGTCAAGAAGCAAACTGGGTTGCTATAATGATTACAAAGAAAAATCAAGCAAGAATTGTGTGGTATTTTAAGCTTTTGAGAACTACAGCCTATTTATTTAAAATGTCACTGGATCTTTATTGTGGTTGCTCCAACAAACTAAGATAGCTCCCCCTCTGGAATGTGTCTTTATACAAGTACTAAACATTGTCTTTCTTCCTTTAAATGGTGGGTAGGTTTTGTACCCACCATTTTGCATGAGGTATGCTATATTTTCCCTTCCAAGAGTTTAGTGAAACATTCCATTAAGGACTTGGTTTAATAAGTTTGCCTAGATTTGGTTTAGGGATGGGCATGAATCCAAAAACGAACCAGGAAGTTCATTGAAATTAACTGGTTCATTGATTCGTGTCAGTTTAGGTTTGTCCTAACAGGAGAACCCAAACTGACACCAACCACAAACTCTTAAAACAATTTTCCGAAGATCCTGGTTTATTCCCCCCAATGCAGCCTGCCCCCTTCCCACTGCCCTTCTCCCTCCCACTGCACAAAATAAGATTTATTTTCCTGATATTCAGCCTAAATTTGGTTTCCTGTAGCTTGAACCTGTTATTATGTGTCCTGCACTCTGGTTGATCAAGAGGGCCAACAGGCAGACACTATTTGAAGCTGGAATACAGAGGATGCCCTCTTGTGATCTCTCAAATGATGTTTTCCAACACTAATTTCTACCATACGTTCTGATATGTATTATCACAACTCATCCCATTCTACATTTCAGAAGACTCTCCCCACCACCACCAGAGAATTTGCTGAGTCATAACTTGCACACACTTTTTGCAAGGTGGTTGAAATAGCAAGAACCTTAGAAAAAGCTGATTCATGCTGACTAGGTCATCTGAAACATGATCATGTATCTCCTCCACTTGTAAGCTCCCAGAACGTATCTTAAACACATGCACTGTCAGGAATTCCTCTCTAAATATAAACTGTCAAAAAGCTGACTTTGTGTCTCCAATCTTCTTTGGGCTTGCTGTACTTCTGAACTTAGTAATGCTTCTCACACTTAAGAAGGCAGTTGCCTGAATTTTTATAATTGCCCTTAAAATGGCAATTCAGTGCAACAGATGCTGTGTACATTGAGTCAGCATTGTTTATCATGCTTTTGCTGAATGTACAAAATGACCTTGTGAGAGTGATGGATGAGCAATCATCTCATCTTGCAGAAAGCGGATAAGCAAACCAAAAAAGCCTGGGTGCACCTTTAGGCCAGATAATCCATTCAAAGGGTAGACTCAATCTTAAATAGAGTATAACAAGTATAATGCATTTTTGTTTGTTTTGATACAAAAGAGGGAAACACAAGAAAAACTAAAGACCCAACATTCCAGACATGACAAATGTTTTAAGATACTGTTTTTAACCTGCAACTGTAAAAGACTGATATTCAACCCTTTGAAACAAAAAACTAGCTTTTCGGGGAAGGGGGTGGAATAGTAGGCATTACCCCATTAATTAATCACTTTGTCTTATTTATATGCCACCTTTCTCTCGGTTAATAACATTAATGATTCCACAAATTTCTTTGAACTTAGAGGCAGAAGTAGCAAAACCAATTCACTTAAGCCTGCTTACTCTTTCAGAGTTGGCTCACCATCTTTTGCCCAGCTGAATGTTCCATCATGCACAGTAATAGCATAACCTGTTTTTAAAAAATGAAACAAGGGAATGTAAGGTTGCAATCCTATATACGCTGACCAGGGATTTGGGAAGGGGAAGATATTTATTTGCATTTCATTTCATTATGAGCTGACTTAATTTGTACTTCTTGAGATGTGACACACTTATACTTTGGTTTTCACACTTCACCAAATTTAGTGATATAATCATCTAATCAGAAATGTGCATATTATGTCAAATTGCTTGCAAAGATGTCTTTTACAAGGAAAGTGAGAATTCTATGTAGATTTATGTTGGCAGGCATAAATTGCTGTGGCCAACTGCTGATTGTTAACAATTTACCACTTGCATTCTGAGTGGCATGTGAAGAAATGTGACTAGTTCATGGTCAGGATTGTGTGCAACAATTCATTAATTAGTTGTAAGTCAGTGTCATAATTCACACAATTACACCTAGGACAGTTTAAACCTATTTCAGGACTCAGGCTGATGCTTTGCAAAATCTGGCCAAAAATGCATATATGTGGGGAAAATGCATACCATTTTTTTTTGTTCACACATAACTATGCAGCAAAATGTGTGCATCTTTTTGTGTAAAAATTTAAAAGCCCAGACAATATAGCAAGCTAATGAAATAGATCAATCCATCATCTGCACTGGGATAAGTTTCACTCAAATCCCTAAGACCCACCACTGAATCATCATGCACAGGATTATACAGTAAGAAAGAAGAGATGTCACAGAGGTGGGAGAGAGAATCATGGTGATACGAAGCCAAGCTTCTTTAATGTGAAAGAACTGGTAGAATGCAGAGAAGGCTGATGAGAAAGAATTGTTAATGAGATATGAGGAACCACTGTAAGATGTTTCCTTCTTTCTTGTTCCTTGAGTAACATCCTGTCACAGGCCTGGCCATGAGTCATGCTATTGAGGTCAGTGCTGGATCAACATTTTAAGCATTAAAAAAAGATACACTTTGGAGAGGCTGCTTAGTGGATGTCTTATAGCATGCTCTGGAAAAGTGGTTTCTCCAGTGACATTATCCTCTGTGCAACAGTTGTATTTATGGAATAAGAAGAAATACTTTAAAGTAGGGAACATCCCACAATTCCAGCTTAAATGATTATCCAGCAGCAATTACAGAAATATGTGCTTGTTTATCTCCCTCAGCCAGACATAGCTGTTCTCTGGCGATTACTCTCAAGTACTTTCTGCAGTCTGGTTTTCAGCAGCTCAAGGATAGTTTCATGCTATCCCCTTTTTCTGAAAATGTAAAGGCCATCCCAAACACTATTAAAGTGTTGGAAGACCATAAGTGTCACCAGGAAGGGTGCGATGGGGAATGCACAAGAGCAGACCCAATCCTAAGCAGCCCTGTTTTGCTTCCTTCACTTTCAAAGACGAGGAACGTGTTGGCTTTACTTGTGGAACTGTATTCTTATCACAAGGCTCCTCTGACTTCTTTGAGAGATGAGTGAAGGAAGCTTTACAGCAGGAAAGGAAACAGCCTATAGGAAGCTTTAGGTGACCGAATCTTCATCAGCTTGTTAGATCTAAATGTTCCTTAGGCCTCTTCTAACAAGCATGTGCAACAGCTATAACTCTTCACACGACATTGCAAGATATTCATGCTTGCTGGGCAGGGTGGGGGGTAATGTGTAAACTGCATAATTAAATTGTAAACCACCCAGGGAGTGTTTTAAGTGCTATGAGTGCTATGGGGTGGAATATAAGCAGCACACTTTGCTTTCATTCTTTGTTTTTTCCTTTCCGTTCCTTTTTTCATCTGTGGAATTCAGAGGCTTCATTGCAGAGAGTTACTTGATACTTCTCCTCACATCGTACTCAATTCACGTTGGCTGTGTTCTCATGTCACAAAAAGCCATGGTTTATTGTTGTGGGAATAAGCTTCGTCTCTTCATGGGCTCATGTACTTCACTTTTCCTATTTGTCTCTGGCATGTCAATGAAGAGGAGGCGATTGGAAGCTTTTGCTTCTTTTTTCTGATAACTGTGATTTGTTGAATCATCAAAATGCAACACTGTGATAATCTTAACTACATAGTTTGCTTGAAACAAATCAGTTCTCTATTATGTTACAAAGTTTTGTTTCAAAGCAAACTGCTAGAAGAGGAAAGGAAAAGTGTGAAAGTCTTGTGGAAGACTAAGCTAATTTTCCATCGCAATCAACCACAGTCTATCACTATGTACAAAGGAAAACATCTGACTACAGTACACTTTTAAGGCTTTGGATACATTAGGAGGTTTTCTCTTAAGTAAACTGGAAAATATCGCTGAACACACAAATTACATGATAACTTACTACTGCTTCCACAAATCATGTTAGAAAGGACTAAGACAAATTATTGTAAATTTTGTGAGGAACAGACTGGGGAAATTCCATCATCTTGCATTAATGGAACTTCATAAATGTCAAACTTCTTTAAAACGAAAATTCCATCATCTTGCATTAATGGAACTACTTCATAAATGTCAAACTTCTTTAAAACGAGGATTGTTTTGCAAGGTATAAGCTGACATTCCCAAGAGACCAAATGGTATTCCTCCTCATATTTCCCATTAGTGCAACATGCAAACAAGATTATCAAATGAAATGTATATTAAAGGAATACTGTCAAAATCATCTGGAGCACCAGTTCAAAATGCTCATTCACAGCTGAATGTTTAAGGTGCCTGTCACAAAAGAAGTGTTTGAGGAGACATCAAAGTTCAACCTTAGATGTCTGAGGTTTGCTGGCTGAAATTTATCTATGCTCTGCAGCCTCCAGATGTTGGAATCCAACTCCACCATACCAATGAAACTTTTTCTGCCTCACCCTTTGTGCCAGATCTACCAGAGCAGTGTTTTACCTGGAGTAATTAACTTGGTTTCCACACAGCCAGGATCAAGTTCATCATGTGACAAAAACTGCTGAATTCTCTTCAATGAAACACTTGTCTGAGGGATAATCACACACAAAAAACTGTTATTTTAATGAGATAAAACATCTTGCAAATTTTGTCCTATAAGGGAGCCCAGCAATTTATATATTCACCGTGCATTAATGAACCAGACCTTGATAACCTTGCTTTTTTTTTTGACCACTCCATCCAGAACCGCCAAGACATCATAGCATGTGGCCATGTTGCAAGGGAATTGTAGAAGTTGTAGCCCAAAATTTTACTTTCACACTCTAGCATACCAACTTACTGCTTTGTAAGGGGTAGCAGCTATAGCATGTCAGAACATCCATAGCCACTTTTACATTGGCTGAACACATCACACAACACAGCAGAGTTTAAACCTGTGTGTAGTTCCTGTATAAAGCAGGAGTTAAGTAGGCATTTGTTTTTTAAATTTCATATAATGCTCTACTGTCTGTCTAGCATGTTTTATATTTTACCGGACTGAATTATTTTTAATAGTTGTTAGTGGGTGTAAACATTATAATGGTGCATTTGTAGTTTTTTTTTCTTTTTTAGCATCAACGGGTAAATAAATACAAATACATTTGATATGCGTAGTCACCCTGGGAGCATTCAAGGCATAAAAAGTTGTGGCCCTAATATGACTGGGGCAATGGATTTGAACTAAAAGGTCTGCTACAGTTGTGTCTACTTTGGCCCAGACAATCATTCTCAAAGTTTTTTGTTTGAATTCTGTGTGTTTTTTTCTTTTTAGCTGGCACCATTCTTACCTGTGCAATGTTGCTAATGACCTGAGGTAGCATGTTGAGTGGGAATTTTAGGAGATTAAAAAGGGAGAGAGACACAAAGGCTTTCTCTGCATCTAGGACATTATTTTCATCCACAGTGACATAAACAGAAAAGGTGGTCAGGGCAACCTGGAAGCCAGAAAAATATACTGCATGAACAACAATTGTGGATGAAAGGACAACTTGTTATACTGATCTGCTAGAGAAAGAAAAAGTACAGCACCACTCTGAGAAACACAAATATAATGCAAACAAGCTGATCAACTTCCAGAATATGTCCATTAGAACAATAACAACAAGTGCAACAACAACTCAGTTTTCTCTTATAACAATACACCGGATTGGTTCCCTGTTCACTATGGGTCTGATATACAAAATGGAAATTTTCTGCCCGCATTTCCTCCTAAAAGAGAGAAAGGCAACAGAAAATGAATGTACAGAGTTGTGGGTCCCAAGGAGATCGACCTTGAAATTGATATTCTTCTTTATGTTTTCTCCTATGTATTTGGAATGTGTAGTGAATACACATAGTTTTTAAGGAAAGGGGGAAGCTAATAAAAACAGGAGGAAGAATCTATCCATAGAACCACAGCGGCTATTTCTGGGCTGTCAAAATTCAAAGTAAACAATTTCTATTGACAGCCAGCTTCCTTAAAACATAAATAGATGTGTGTGACATAGGAGGAACTCTGCCACCCCAACCTCCCTGCCAGGTACACACAATAGACATTCCAGTTTATAAAAACAGGGAGCAATTGGGAAACTGGTTAAAAATAATATTGCAACTATCTTTGTGCTAACCATATAAAATACTGTGCACTGTTCTGGTTTGTTCTATCTAACAACAGATATGAAAGGTAACGTTGAGATAGGAAACAATCATTAAAGTGATCAGTGATAGAAAGCTAGGAAAGCATTTGAAGCCTTTTACTTTGGAAAAAGTTAAGAGGGATGGAAAACCTGAAGTTGGTAAAGTTAAAAATCCTGCAGCAGTTTGGAGTGCTACCTGTTCAATGTACTTCAAAGTAGTATAAGGTTCCCTCTACACGGCTCTATTTCCACTCCTTTCAATTCCCTCAACAGCATCTGTTATCCATTCCTAATAGACTGATAGTACTCTAGGGCCATTGAATATGCTCAATTTGCTGTGGGTTTCCCCCTCCCGTGACAGGTTTTCTTTTCCTAAGCATTTTTTGTATATTTCTGTAAAACCCAGAGATCTGCCAAACCTGCTAATACCTCTTGTGTGCCTATGGTGCCACTTTGGTTATACAAGAACTGATATTTTAAGATCAGTCCATTACTAGTATGTAGCTATCTGTATGCAGATGATAAACAATGCAGAGCAGTGGCAACAGAGAAGAATCCATCACCTTTTCTTGTAATCACCAGAATTCAAGGTTACTCTCTGATTGTGATTGACAGAGAAAAGCAAGGACGTACCTCATTACACACCTAATTTTCCTTGCCACATGACATTTGGTATGGTTATTAGTGTAAATAACACTTGGAGGAGATCACAGATTTATAAAGGAACTGTATTCATGGAGCGTACAAATGCTTAGGTGTCTTAATGGCTGCTAGTCATTATAGCAGAATTCACAAGTGTTCATGTTGAGAGGGATGTTGGATTGTCAGATGCTGGGAGAAAATTGGAGAAGGAAACTTTCTCCATTATGTTCTTTCCTTATTAGTTTTCACTGGAGCAATAAATAAAACAGATCAGTCTACCAGTCATGCTATTTTGTTTTTATGGACATAACAGTTTTAGAATGTGATAGTGTGAAGACTAGTCAGATCTATTTAATCATCTTTCCTCTTTATTGTCCTTGCCAGGTAGTGATGGGTTCCAGGCAGCAGAGTGAATTTATCTGATTTAGACAGAAGTCAAGTCATTGCATCTTTTTTAGAATGAACGGTAGTTCTCCCATGTCACATGCAGCGCCAGTGATAAAAAAATAACCAACAAAACTTACCAGAAATGGTGCGCTGATCCATGCAAAGGTTGAAATGGCATTTAGGTAGGCTGATTTTTTCAAAATGCGGAGTTCATTCTTCCGTATCTCTAGAACTTTTTCTGCAAAGGATGGTTCCCAGGCATAGAGCTTGAGTACTTTTATGCCACTTAGGATTTCATTCATTAGCTTAATACGTGAGTCCTTATAGCGCATTTGTTCCACCTAAGAAGATAATTAGAGAACATAATTAGGCACAGTCCATTATGCCAAAATTGTTTCCTTGCACTGTAATTCCTGCACCTCAATGACTAGAAATCACAAATAATAAAAATGGCAGATATCAAGAATATATTAATATATTACAAAAATACCAAACACTTTGGGCACATTAGTGTTAATGCGAACACACATTAATGGTAGTTCATTAAAGACAAATCAATCCTAAAATTACACTGGCTAACAATCTTATATTCAGATAATTCAACATATATAATAGTTTTAAAGAGAACTGTAATTTAAATGTTTAAAACTCCATTTAAAAATCCATTTTTATTTACTCCAGCACCTCCAGTTAAAAATATCCAAAGCCACAAATGTCAAAAAGATTCCTGGCTTACTTTGAAAAATGGCTGAAAGTGAAGGTAGGCAGGAATGGATTCTGAATAAACAATAACATACATAGATTGATTCTATGAAAATCACATTAGTTTGCAGTTGCAGTCTTATTGGACTCTTTAATGCCACTAGCCTCAGGTGTATTCACAGAGGGCCATTTTAGGTATGTTTAATGTATGAAGCATAGACATCAGTCACTAGAATATGCACTTTATTTCCTTCCTTTAGTATTGACAGCTAAACTGAAACCACCCTCATCTTCTGCCTGTTTGTTGGCCTTCCAGACAGTCCCATCTTAATCATTAAGGAACCAAGAAAGCCATGAATCAAGCATTGCAAATGTATAGCCATACTCTAGATGGATTCTTTCATCACATCTCAGTCTTTACTTGTCATGTAAGGACTCCTGTGACATAGTCTGAGAAAAGCAATGTGGTTTCTATTTGCCATTAAGGGTTCTTTTTAAAGGTGAAGCAGAGCAGTCTAATAGCATTATGCACTTCACCGGCAGTTTTGTGTCTTCTCATTACCTTTCACTGAATTCAACATGTGCTCTTGTTCAGCTGACCACCCATACAAGAACAGCTCTGGAGAAACAGGGAGAGTGAGGAAGCCAGAAACAGCAAGAGCTCAACTGAAAAGTGGAAATGCAGAAAAAGCACCATTGTAGGATACTAGGAAGAAACAAAAAGCAGGGGAGGAAGGGGAAGATACTGTTTGGGTGTTATAGTTCCAGTCATAGTTGAGCGATTAACTACTTGAGGAATGGGAAAGGATGCTAGGGCCTGATGTTGCCCATCAGGACCAACTGTAAAACTCAAGGCAATTTTAGAAACATGAGACATTTTAAAACTCAGCGTGTACCCTTTCATTAGCAGGCTGACAGAAACGGCAGGTCAACCTCTGATTTACTAAAGGCAGACCTACAAGATCTTCCAGCATGCCCAGAGCTACCAACTTCTTATTTGCTGAGGTAATAGGAGACTTTTCTCACTCATTCTGGATTATGAACTAGCCTCTCAGGAGAGACTATTTGTGTAGCCTTCTCTCCTCACTTTCAGGGATCTGTTAAGCATTGTTTTAGCTCAGTATGCTATTTTTTCCCCCAAATGAGGGGTAAATACAGAAATGTTTTACTGCTTCTGACCCTTTCACTGTGGTTATAAGACTGTATTTACACCACATGTGTTATTATTTTAACCTTCTAAATGAGACCCAGGCAGAAAGGAAGTCCAATCTGAAACATGAGTTAACCAGTGAAATACTGAGGTAATCAGACAGATGTAGAAGGAAAGCCCTATGAGAGGAGGGGCCAACAGGGCCATTTCAGCTGGGCCTCACCTCACATGGGGTGTGTGTGTGTGTCTATGTGTCTCACTGCAGGCAAGAGTGCATTCTCCTCCACATCAAAACGTGGACTGTGTTTCTTGACTAGAATCAGATTTGGAACGTTTACCATATCCTGTCATTCTCAACTAAAGTCCAAACAAGGAAGTAGCCCTCAAAATGTGGAACAGCTTCATCTCAGCCCCCCAAGGACCTGATACCAGGCTTAGGAAGAGCCTAACAAAAAGGTAGGAGGACAAGGAAGAGCAAAGATCCCAACGCAGGCGAGCAACTGCAATGAGGAAGAGCTCAATCAGCTGAATACTGATTATCAGGCCAGCAATAATAATAATCATCATCATCATCATCATCATCATCATCATCATCATCATCATCATCATCATCATCATCATCATCATCATCATCATCATCATCATCATCTTCCTCCTGCTGCTTTTCAGGGCATCAAAATGAAGCTTGGAAAGTGTTAAAATGCTTACCTACCTGGAATGCCCTGGTTTTTATCGCAATCACGGCATTAAACGGGATGAGTAAGACCATCACAGCAACTCCTGCCAGCACTGAAGCTCCTAAACTCTTCAAAGGATGTAAAATATATAAGTTATCACCAGAACCTTGAACTGCCACTTTGGATATAACACCTTTTTGGATAACACCACTGGTGGACATGCAGGCTGAAGGGCAATGATCCAAAAACAAACAAACAAACAAACAAACAAACAAAACAAAACAAAAACAAAACAAAAAACAACCCACTCCTGATCCCCCCCCCCAAAGAAAGTAGCTGTGTTAGGCTGTCTCAGCATGTTGGCAGAATAGGAGGGAGAAAAGGAAAAATAAAACGAAAGACTATGTATTGTGGCATTTAAAAAACTAACCATGTTGTTTGAAAGTGAGCTTTTATTGATCATGTCCTCCTCCTTCAGGCACATGGAGTACATACACTATGCCCTCTCCATTTATCATGTTTCCATGAGGACTTATAACCTGGTGAGAGTAAAGAGACAGGCAAAGTCACAGTGCATTGTTGACACAGCAATGGGACTATCAGGCCACAGATTGCTGAGAATGGCAGGCTATAGAAAGATGGTAGACTTGTGTCTGGTATACATCTTATCACCCAGCCTATGGCCTGCAGTTTTAAGTAATCAATGTCTTTTTATTCCCCTCCTAACAAGGAACAATGCATTGTGACCTTATTTATTGCTTGTACCCTCACCTCTTTATGACTCCTCATGGGAAAATGTATAACTACAGAGGACCTCATAGGAGCATTCGGTGTCTGAAACAGGTGATTTTAATCCACTAAAACTCACACTGCAACAAATCTGTTAAGTCTTTAAAGTGCCACAGTATTTTGTGCCTATCCCCTCCCCTTTTTTCCCTTTAGTTTTCGCACCTTCTCAGTTCTTGTTACCGTTACATTCTCTAGCATTTTAACTAATTATTTTTAAACTAATATATGTTCCATTGTTTTTAATATAATAATGTATTGTGCTTTTCAGTGGCTTGTCTCTTAATTTGTGAACCAACCTGGGTCCAGTAATTGGGAGAAAGTCTGAATAGAAATATTAATTAATTAATTAGTTAATAGAAATTACAATTCTTCACTCTCTAGTAAAATGTTTATGAAATAAGGTTGCCACAACAGCATTCTAAAAGGACAGCTCTGTGGACTCCCTGTGGTTATTCTTTTTTTCTCTACACCTTGTGGAGACACATCCATAGTTTCTAGTTGACGAAAGCATGGAGGACAGTGGGATATCCGATCCTTCAGAGTTTGTTTTCACCAGTTCTCTGGCTGCTTTTCACAGGCACTGTAAATAGGAGCAGGCTTCCACCACCTCACTGCAAGCCAGTGTGATAATAACATACTTGGCAAGGGCACCCCCATTGTGTCAGGCACAATACTGTGCAGAGAGTCAAAAGAAGACAACGTGAACCTGCCAAGCTGGTTTTCTGTTTATCTAAGATTTATTTTAAAGAGCTAAGAAAAGTGATCCCACAGTGATTCCCTCCCTCCACCGCTTAGAATCTCCTCCCCCTCAATATTCCTTCCTTGCTTCTTTAACTTAAAGCACAATGTGACCTGTCTGTGTGCCCCAACAGCATTGTGTCTTCAACTCATCATTTGTTCATGTAGAACATTTTAAAAAAATAAGTAAATGGAATTTTGTTGAGAGGAAAAGGGTTGCTGGCAATATTGTGTTGTCTAATAAATTTTCCCTAGAACAGAATCATCACTTAGCTTAATGACTCCACACTGTGCCTCATTGAGACAAAAAGCAAAAAAACAAAAACAAAAACAAAACAAAACTCAAGAGGTTTTGTACCTGCCAGAGAAAGTACAAAGCAAGGCAAATCTGCAGTGGTGCAGACCATAACATGTTCAGGAACATAGTCAAATCCATGCATCTCTGAGCATCCACTGACATCAGGTTGACAATCTCCCCAGTAGTGCAGGAACGCTTTGCTGAGTTGGTAATAACTAAAGACTGGAAAGACAGAGAGAGGAACTTTCATATTTAGTCATGGCTTCTTCTGCTACAACATTTTTATTCTACACTTCCATTAAGGAACTCAGTATATGGTACGTGGTTCCCTACCTGCGCTACTGTTTTTCCCTTACAACAGCCCTTATGATATATTTCAAGCAGGGAGCTGAAGCTGGATCTCCTTGGTAGATAGTCAACAAGTGTCAGCATGAAGCCCACTGACCTGCACTTCACAAGCTATTCCAGTTCAGCCCTTTGAACCCTTCTGAATTAGTGGGATTTACACAAGTGCTGACTTATCATTCAGCTGTTGATTCAGTGAATCAATTCCAGCTACGACTAGCAATTGGATTTAGGCCTATATCTGCTTGATCTATCCAAGGAGGCAGGGTTTAACACCTTTCTGGACCCAGGCTACGGTGCTCCTGAAGGATCAAGTTTGTAACTTGTAGATTGTGATCAATCTCACCTGATATCAGAAAGTCAAGCTCATTTTCTTGGCCAAGAGTTATCTTCTGCCAGCTTTGACTTGTCAAATGTATTCCTTTCTGAACAGACAGCCTCAACACATGCCATTTAGGACTCCCACTGTAATTCTTTGGTCCTGGCAGTATTTTCAAAATCTATTTGGAAACTTCAGTTAGCCCAAACCATATCTCCGTCTTTGCTAACTGGAGCTGCTCATCAGTGGAAACATATCTCACCCATTACACTCTGACAGGGGAACTTCCAAGCACAATTCAGCTAAAGCTCTATATGGTCACAAAACTCAGAAGGGGTACCTGAACGAGCACTGTTTCACAAAGCTGCTTCCATATAAACGTAGTAATGAACTAAGAATTTATTCTCGAAGGGTTTCACGGCTGGGATCTGATGGTGGTTGCAGGTTTTTTGGGCTCTTTGGCCATGTTCTGAAGGTTGTTCTTCCCAACGCTTTGCCAGTCTCTGTGGCCAGCATCTTTAGAGGACAGAACACTGTCTGTGCTCTGTTCTGCGTTCTGACTCCTGTCCTCTGAAGATGCCGGCCACAGAGACTGGTGAAACATTAGGAAGAACAACCTTCAGAACACGGCCAAAGAGCCCAAAAAACCCGCAACAAGCTAAGAATTTCTTTGTGGTGGCACCAATCTTTGGAATGTCTCTGTGACTTGGATGCCTTTTTCAACAAAGGCAAAGATATATATTTTTCCAAGTGCTTGTATACCATGTAGGTTTTTCAGTTCATATCTCATCACTATGATTTTTATATATTACGTTGCTACTGTTTTTATTTGTTTTTTACTCTATTTTATTTAATCATCTTGACAGCAGTGAAGCTGAAGGATAACTCATTTAATTTGTAGTGTAAGTTATAAATTTTATATATATATAACTACTGCTAGTTTTATGGCTTTAAGGCCTGTTTTCCTTATCATATAGAGATCAATAATGCACTTTTTAAAAAGAGAAAAGTTATATTCTTCTAATATTGGTTTGAATAAAAAAGAAAACTTATGTTCAGTGGAGCCTACTCTCCTCCCTAGCAAGAGCTTTTTTAAAAAAAGACTTATAACTTATGTCCCTCTGTCTGATTACTGTTTTAAATAGATGGTTGTCATGAAAACTTCTCTACATTGTTCAAGCAAATATATATATATGAAAAGCCTGGCACTAATGAAATAACTGGGCTTCTATTATGCATCATATTGTTTTAAGATGCTTATTTGAGAACTCAAAACGTAGGCACACTAAATATACAGTATAATCTTGTTTATACCAAAGACTTGAGGAACTTGCAAAACATCTCACGAATGAGATAGTCTGGCACAAAGGTTAAGTATTTACGAGGATTTCACAAACAGCTGTAGCAGGGATACTGAGAGCACGGCATATCATGTACCACACTTCATGCACATATACAATGCTCTCATTGCAGGGAACGGCCAAATTGTGTACAACTACTGTATTTTTAAATGTACCACCCACTTATTCCATACATGTGTTTTAGTTTTTAACAAGACTGTTCACCTACTCATGCAACAATTATTAATTCAATAATAATTTCAACTGTCACATACTCATCCACACACAATTTTTAAAGAAATCTAACTACCAGTTTGAAACAGAGAGTGGTCAATTATCATCCTCACAAAACATTTGGGATAATGTTGTACCATACATGCTAACCCTACACATACCTGCTTTGGGGCTAAGGCTGTTGTTTACAAATATTGTAAACACTTCACAAGATTAGTAATCAAATGGTGGGCAGGTAATAACATGTGATGTGTTGGAGAATAGCTAATACACAAAAGCAGAACCAAGGGCAATCTGAATAATACTGTATTCAAAAGATTGTTTAAAACTGGGAAGAGCACAGATGGATAGCTCTAAAGATCTGATTATAATGAAAAAAATCATTTTCTATTCATGCCATCTACTAATAGAGAGGCTGTGTGTTATAGTAGTTTTTATGTTGCATCAGAACATGGAACAGCTAGGTACAAGTTTCCACTGAATCAACAAACTCACCAAGTGACCTTCTACCACTCTCTCTCTCACAGTCAGCCTGCCTCACGATAGGGTTGTTTTTTTTTATGTGTTCACTTTGAAACAAAATGTGCAGTTGAGAAAATAAAAGTGCAGTTGGAGTTGATAGAGGCAGAGTCAGAAGGAATGGAATGACTGTACTAGTGAATCATCAGGGTTTATGTTTCTATCTGTACATTTCTATCTGTTCATTTCCCCCCTCCAACTATATGCTCAAAGAAACCCTTGACTCACAGGATTGTTGTAAAGACAACGTGTGGAAAAGGAGAGCTAAATAATCTATTTCAGCTCAGAGGACTAAAAACACAACCAATAAGTAATAAATAAATAAATATAATAGATGCTTACTATTGTTGATATTTACTGATTATTTTGAGGCCACTAATGGTTTCACTGATTAATAGTTTTTGGTACTGTTTGTTTGTCACCATGTTTTTTTTAATATAAAAGTGAAACAGAATGAAAATAAAACAAAATAATGAAAAATAACTAATATTAGGGTTCCATTCACAAGCAGACTAGCCCTATGAGAAATCCTACAGAACTGATTATGCATATCATAAATACATGTATACATATCACAATAATATGGAGGTTTGTCCTCCAAAAGGCATTCTGCTGTAAGATAGGACATTTAATGGATGACAAAGACCCACTCCTTTCGCCTCATTCATGTAATTGTGGACTTCTCTCACACATACACTAATGCCGCATCTTCCCCATGGCCCCCCAGAGGCAAGGATGGTCAAGGAAGGCTTTAATATTGACAAGATTGTTGTTGGGACATCTGTCACCCAAGCCCAGCTGAGAAAAGGGTAGGTACAACACAGGCCACTACGGAGAAATGCCTAGGGAGCAGGGAGGGCATTTCTGGAGCTGAATTTGGAACATCAAACCAAAAACCTGGGCTATATGCTAGATGAAGAATCCTGAATCATTAAGGAATTAGCATGGCCAATGGCTAACAGTTCATGTATGACTGGAATTCAGTTACATGGAGGTCTTTACAAATAAACTGTAAATACCAGAATACTGAGAAGAGACTGAGGATCTATCCATGCAAGATGAGAGATAATTTGAGAATAAGCACACTCTGTGGATTCCATGCATTTTCCGAGATGATTTGCTCATTTACCAAAAACATATCAAATGTGTGTCAGGGTATTGTATGGCTGACATGTGCACTTAGTTGCCATTTTGTTATGAATAATGGCGGCATGGAAATGAACTAGGAGTTACGCCAGTTCAGGTTCTGTAGCAATATCTACCCACTGACTCAACCACCACCACAACAATTTACACCTGATGAAACAATAATAGATCCTTTAGAGGCATCATTAATATAAGAGATAAAATCATAATCTGAGCAGGGCCTATTTCCTGGAAAGAGAGGTGGCCTGCTTTGTTTCCAATGGCAGGTCGCCCACACACAGATACCAATCTGAGAGACATTTCTGCAGCAGATGCCTCCTGCTGATGCCTACCTGCCTAGTCAACCCATCCCTGCCTCCCCCTGGTAGGCAGGAAGATCAACCTCCTCTTACCTTTCGGTAGATCATCCCTATGATGCCAGTCCTCAGTCTCATTCCAGTAACAAAGCAGTATTGGAAGTGCTGATGAAGGATGATCGTCTGCAGCACAGCACAGAAAAACATCGAAGCCGCAATCAGATAACCCCACCACAAGGGAGCATGTTCATTCTTGATGAAGCCAATTAATACGCTGTTTAAGGAAATGGGAAAAATAAACAGACAACAGAGGAGTGGGGGTGGGGATACAGAGATTAGTGGGACCGAGTCACGGCACACCCCTTCCTTCTACCCACAGCAAAGTGTTCTCCTGAGTGCAAAGGCCAGACTTTATTCCTGTTTCAAAGAGCATGGCTAAGGGTGACCTCAAATATTTTATTCAGTGTTTGTTATGGCTCCCATTTTGAAAAATTGGAAAATGCTTCCATATGGCTAACAGTGCTGGTGACCTGCAGTAATTAAATCAATGCTATGTGTGCAGGCCAATCTGTATGGCAATACCGGACATGTATTCCATGATGACAACATGAAGGGTACCATTCCTGAGAAGCTGGAGCAAATGGCATTTGCACAACAGAGTATGCACACTTGTAATCCTTATCCACGATAATATATACATTGTGTGCATTTTTTGAATGCAGCGAGCCATTCTAAACAGAACTGGCTTCCAGGCATGCAGTATATTAGAGGTACCCAAGCAAGCCGGAGAAGAAGTTTGTTTGTTTTTTTACAATGGGCACCCACCATATTTCCATCAAAAATGTTTTCATGCAGAATCGGAAGCAAATAAAACAATATTTAGAAGAACATGGTGTGTTCCTGAACAATTTCCTGCCAAGGAATGCAAATGCCTCCCGCAAGTTCCTTTAGGTACCATGCAGACAGACCAAGGTATTTACACAGTTACTGCATAGGTGTCGCATGACCCGTGAAGGTGGGTATGTGATAAATGGGAAACATTAGCACAAAACAAAACAAAACCTAAACCTAACTAGGGGAGCTGATCTCTGTTCATCAACTGATCATCCCAAATGAAAACGAAAATTATTTGATGCACAAAAAGCAGAACAAAATTTCAGCTCACCTTAACAATTGTGGGTTGACAAATGATAGCAGATCTTGGATCAGCTTGAAGAAGGAACTGATCAGGTAGTAAGGACCAAACGTTCTTAGCAAGGCCTTAAGAAAAGAAGGCTCTTTCTGCTGTATCTTACTACTTATAAGGACTTCTGTCTCCTCCGGACCATCAGCAATATGGTTCATCACATTGTTTGAGCTTTTTGTATAGGAGACATCTTTTTTCCTGGGAAGATGAAACACACCATTACACATGGTTTAAGGGGGGAGCTCTGTTTTACATACTGACTGTTTAGAAATATTTCCTTCATTTTCAAATACTACGATTCTCATCTAATAAACCAGGGGGCCAAAGGAGCTGTTGAGCCATTGGATCAGTTGAGGGAATGCTAGACTGGCGATTCATGCCACAAAGGTTACTAAAACTAAACAATTGTTAATCTTACTTAAACTTTCAATATAAAGCCATAACCCAGAGTCCTTGACAGACTAAACACGAAAACTTTTGTGACTGATCATTTACCCTTTTTGCTTAGCAATAAGCGTATGGCTTCTTTGCTGACCAAAGCAACGATATACCATGAGTCAGCAGTATATTTTTTATTATTATTATCTATGCAGTGATAAAGCTTTAAACTGAAATGATTTTGCTTGATGTTTTGTGATCCAGAACAGTTGTGTTCGCTGATCATACTTCTTATAAACCCCCCTTGATTATTTTATGGTTAACTATTAATAACTTTACAATAGTTTAACTGGCCCTCCTGATTTTGTCTCCAGGAAAACTGTGATTTTGTCTCCAGAAAAACTGGTATCCCTGCTAGGTTTCAAGACAAATGCACACAATGAAGGCACAACTGAAATTAAAAAGTGTCTCTTGATCCTGACTTGATATCTTTCTTGACCGCGCTTTTTAAGTCTGCGCTATAAGACTATAGCAGAGCATATAATGAAGTATGTATGTATTTGTTTAAAATATTTTAACCCATTTTTCTCATTTAAAAGGACTGAAGGTGGCTGATATAATTAAAAGACTATATTTAAAAGCTAAAAACAGTATGCAAACATTTAAAAAATCCATTAATATAATGATCATGGGCTAGATCCTGTTGTTGGTCCAGTTAAAGGAGACCCACTTTATCATACATATTAATATACATGGATTTATGGATTTAATGCATTTACTCTAGCTGGGACTAACAAACAGATTTAGCTCTACAGAAAAATTCCTGTGAACTCACTCCTGTTCCCATGTCTGCAACACTGATTTGAATTCTCATCTCCAAGATTCTTTCTGTAGAGCCTTCATACACTGATTCAATTATATTTTGAATCTATCTTCCAGCTACGTGACTCCATTAGGTCTCTGATTTAGAACTGCTTGACTTTTGGCTCCCTTTCCTGTCCGAGTTCTAGTCTTGGTGAAGACAACAAAGATAAGAAGGAATTTTTTAAAAACACAATAATCCCACTAGTTTGAATACTTCAGCAAATAATCTACAGGAGGGATGCATTATGCATTTGGCTGATTGGGGCTAAATAAACAAAAATGCTTTCATCGTCTTAAAGTATATTTTACCCTATGCAGAACTGTAGCCAGTGTTGTATCTTCAGGAAGAATATCAGTTATTTCAGGGCTTATTCTGTTGTCAGAGAATAATTCAGATATTCAAATAGTAATTTAAATGCATTCGAGAAGAAGCAGAAAGCACCTAACAGTATTATTTTAAATGAGTTTTTTAAAATTGCACTTCTTACTTGGTAGATCCTGTTCTTACACAGGGAGTGGGCAAAGAGCAAGACTCTGCATCTGCCTTAGGAACCCAAGCAAAAGAGGTAGAATCATGTAGCCGTAGTCCAACAATGTCTAGAGGGTCACATTTTGCCCTTTCGTACTTTTTACAATCTACTAACATAATCCATTCTCAGTCCAGTTTAAACACTTGCTTGAAACATTTATGAAGAGAATACATACATAAATAAAGGTGTTAACTCCTCAAACATCAAATCTTCTGTGTTCTCACATTTTGACTTTACAAAATGGTTTTAAGCTGCACTGAGAGGAATATTTTACAGCAGATTTCCCAATTTCTTGCTCCACTCTAATTAGTTACATAGTGAACATTAATAAACAAAGCAAGAATTCATACATCTTATATTAGAATCCATACATCTTACAATTATATAAAAAGGAAGTTTTAAAAAAAGAACAAGCTGCAAAGTAAGATGGAGTTATTTAAACCTTTACTGCCAACAGGAACACCCACAGAAACCTTTGCCAAAAATACTATTATGAGAAAACAGGTATCATTGAATGAAAACTCAATACTAGGCATGACTTTGAAGAACCAGACAAAAAAGCCAACTTCCGGGTTTGTGAAGCACAAAAGGCCAGCATGCACCTCTAACTTTGAACATCAAAACATGTGAAAGAGCACTGCTTTGTTATGCTGTAAAATATCATTTTTATGAGATGCAGGCGAAATAGGGTTAGGGTTGCTTAGGGTCAGGTAGAGGTCCAGTATGCCATTTGATGCGATCCTCAGATCCAGAAAGCATATTGGACCTGAAGTGACCCTATTTGGTCTAGGAATTCCTGATATCGTGAAGTGGCTTAAGAAGAAAGCCACCTCAGGACATTGGCAAATTAAACAATTCCCCTGTTCCTTATTAGGGCAGTACAGATGCACTGTATCACTTACAATTTGTTTTAATTGAAAGCTTCCTCAAGTGGGAGGAGACAGGATGGGCCAATGAAGAGCTTTTTCTTTTCTGTTCTTTGACTTGTTTTAAAGGTCTAGTAGAAAACTTGCCCTCAGCTGAATCCACCACTGGCTGGTAACCTTCTAAGAGAGAATCATCTGTGCACTGATAAATTAGATTCTCCGTCTCTTTCTCTTCCTTTTCCCCCCCCACTCCCCCTTCTTCTACACCAGGGTTCCCACACCTGGGTGAACCAGGGGTTCTTGGACTACAACTCCAGACACCCCAGTCAACGCTGTTGGCGGTGGAGGCTTCTGAGGACTGCAGTCAAAGAACACCTAGGTTACCCAACGTTGGGAACCACTGTTCTACACTCTTCTTTTCCAATGTATATCCATGTGCAATTCTCAGACAGGGCTTCGTTGTTCTCTCATTGAGGCTGCTGATCACCTAAACTTCAATAAGTCTCGTTAAGAGAACTAGCATAGAACAAATAATATGGGTCTTTAAAAACTAACATGTTTTATTTGGTTGAAGCTTTTGTAGATGTAAGCCACTCTTTTAGTTGCACAGAGCATTCAAGCCACAGGAGCCTCTGATATTGGTTGCTGCAACATATAAACAAGGCTACACCCTTAGAAATATAGAGTTGTATTCGGTGTTTCCAAATCACTCTATGAGCCCCAAGTTTCCAATTATTTTAAGGCAGAGAAAATCCCTGTTTCCTCTCAAAAATCACTCCACTTGAGTGTGGAACTTACCATTTGTATGCTAAATCCTTCTTCCTGAAAATCTGAATGTCTCTCTCTCTTTTTTAAAAAATGAATTCTAATCCTTATGAATAGAAAAAAATATGTTTGAATGTGTGACGACCACAACAGGGGAAAACTTATTAATTGAAATAGGAGCCAAGGAGCTAAGGATTTGTGTTTATTAGAAAGCAGTTTTTTGTGCCACACGGATTCTTGTCTTTTCCTATGACTAGCAACAGCAGTCATTGTCTTTTCCTATGACTAGCAACAACAGAGGGACGTGGTGGCGCTGTGGGCTAAACCGCAGAAGCCTGTGCTGCAGGGTCAGAAGACCAAGCAGTCGGAAGATCGAATCCACGCGACGGAGTGAGCGCCCGTCACTTGTCCCAGCTCCTGCCAACCTAGCAGTTCGAAAGCATGCAAATGCAAGTAGATAAATAGGGACCACCTCGGTGGGAAGGTAACAGCGTTCCGTGTCTAAGTTGCACTGGCCATGTGACCACGGAAGATTGTCTTCGGACAAACGCTGGCTCTATGGCTTGGAAACGGGGATGAGCACCGCCCCCTAGAGTCGAACACGACTGAACAAAAATTGTCAAGGGGAACCTTTACCTTTACCTAACAACAGCAGAATAAGTTATGTGAAACAGGTGAATATGCAACTTACATAACGGATACAGGCTAGAGAATTTGGGTTGTCTTGCCACTGAATACAAGTTACCACAGAAAAAACTGTGATGTTTTTAGAAGCGCAGAGCAGAATAAGTTATGCAAAACAGGTGAATATGCAACTTACATAATGGATACAGGCTAGAGAATTTGGGTTGTCTTGCCACTGAATACAAGTTACCACAGAAAAAACTGTGATGTTTTTAGAAGCGCAGTATAAAGCTGTATTTTATTCACACAAACAAAAGTATAAGAGCTATTTATGAAGACAGAATCAACTTACTGCTGCTTTTCCTGTTTCTGATTATCCCACTCTTTCTGGAGCTTCTGTATTATCACATGGGATTTATCATCTGTATTCAGGGACCATAAATCCTTCTCTTCAAGAGGCCTCTTATATCCCTGGACTGCCATACTGTGTTACAGAAAAAAAAAAATAACATACCAGTAACTCAGACCCATTTTGGATAGTTCAGTCACTCTGGGACTAAAAGGATGGTATTACACTATACACCCCGCATATACATCAACCATTTAATTTCACCCCACTCCATAGTATCTAGGACAGCTTACCCATGTCCTGATTTCACGTGACTATTCACCCCTTCGTCCTTGTCACACCTCCTATGCTGCCATTAAAGGAATGGGCTGGGTGGAGAAGTCATGCAGGGTCAGTCATGCATGTTTGGCATATAAATGCAGGACCAAAATCAGTTGCAAACAGGAATGGACCCAGTGAATTAATAGAATTTACATAGATGTTGACTTAACAAGTCTCATTCAGTGGAACTACTCTAGCTGGGACCAACACTTGGCTTTACCTCATATTTCCCAGCAAGAAAAGCATTTTTTTTATCTCAGAAGGAAGCCCATAACTCACCTGATCTCTCACACAATGACTAACACAACCTCTGTGTTGCCTGGCTAAGTGGAGGATTTGATATATGAAGTCCGATAACTGTTTTGTCTCCGTTCAACAACACCAACATTTAGCATTCTTTAAGCTTTCAGGCCAACAACATATGCTAACAAAGGCCCATAAATAGAGCTGAAACCAAGTTAATGCTACAGGAAAGTGGCTGAGGCAGTCTTTCCATGTTTGTGAAATCCAATTTCAAAGGAATCCTGTGCTTAAATCATGAAAACCAATACCAGTAAATTGAGCTAATTTGCGTAATCCTGAAGGTGACAGCCAAGCTGTGAAAACATCTGTTGTTTTCATTGATTAAGAATTCCATTCATCCAGTCACAGGCCATCCCTAATATCTGTTTTTGGCCCCATAATGATAGCTAGAGGGTTTTGAGAAACAGATTTCCTGGCCCACCATCCTAAATAAGCATGTGTTTATATATGAAGAAGACAGCCTAACCCGAGAGTAGCTGATCTTTGAGTGCACAACTAGTGGATCATAACTATATGCCATATTAATTTAACAGAGTACAGAGCTCTGGTTTTGCGCATCGCGAGTTGTTGAATGGGATTATCATCAGCTCAACAATTTGTCTTTTTTCTAAAATCAATCTGGATGTAATGATAAAATATTCTTTATTGTGATGGAGGGAAAACAGTGGGAAAGTTCAGGCCTCCTGGAGTGGTTGCAAAGAGAAAGCTGAAGAATCTTCCTTCTTTATTAGCCCCAATTATGTGAAATAATTAATACATAATGGTTGTTGTGGGTTTTTCAGGCTATTTGGCCGTGTTCTAAAGGTTGTTCTTCCTAATATTTTGCCAGTATCTGTGGCCGACATCTTCAGAGGACAGCACTCTGTGCTCTGGTGTAGTTTGCTTGGGAGTGGACCAGAGCACAGACTGCTGTCCTCTGAAGATGCCGGCCACAGAGACTGGCGAAACGTTAGGAAAAACAACCTTCAGAACACAGCCAAAGAGCCCAAAAAATGCACAACAACCATTAGATCCCAGCCGTGAAAGCCTTCGCGAATACAAATTAATACATCATTTGGTCTTTCCCTATATGCAGACAGAGAATTGTCAGAATTCTGAAGCAGAAGAAAGCAGGCACCAATGCATGATACAAACGCAGGCTGTGAGCTAGTCCAGTCATTATAATAAACCCTGGTTTATCTAATTGAGAATCAGCCACAGCACGTATTGGGCTTAAACACTCCTCTCCCTGCTTCTTTGCTCGTTCTATGAGAGGGCCCTGAGGTGGAGATCAGAGGCTTTTGTTTGCCTTTTTAAAAACTGGCGACCGTCTGTCATGCCATCCAAATCCAACAAACAGCAGTTAATCTTAACTTGAGTGTTTTGTTTCAAATAAACCACATAGAAAATTTAGCACATTTTTTTTTGAGTCTGGACAAAACAATTTGCAGTTAAAAAAAATGCAAGCCATGATTTGTAGCGAAGCCCGAATCAACTCATTCTTTGCCTTTATACTCTGCACCCATTAATGTTTCTTTCCTGCTCTAGAGTTGTGACAGTCCTATATTCGGCACTGAAGAACAGATCAAATGATGGATGCATTTTTACACCTTACTAGAATCTTGGATATGCTAGTTACTGTTTGGGACCATCTTCCTAATCTTTGGCATTTACTACCAACTTATGTGCAAACAACAGGTTCGGAGGCAGCTCACTTTCCCTATTTTTATTTCTTATACCTGTGGTATCTACAAACAGAAGAAGCTTCACGTCTGATCCCCAAGGTGGCCAACCATTAATTGCATTTTTTTCTGGCCCACTCCTAGATGGCACTAAGATCACCACTGACATCAATGCAACTGCTGCTACTGCTGGAGATGCTGAATTGCTCTTTATTACCCTCCTGCCCTTCTTCCATAGACTTCAACTACCCTAGAGAGTTGACTGGAAGTACTGCAGATTAACTCATCTCGTTTTAAATGAAGGAACTCAGCATTAAATAACTACCTATCTTCTAAGTATTAACTGTACTTTTCATGAAAGCCCACAGACACTTTTTCAATCAGAGGGCTAATTGTTTCAGGGCCAAGCAAGCCTGCCGTTGTTGGGTGACAAGCTCTGTATTCTGTTTCTAAGTGAGAAATTTTATAAGCCGATTTTGCTCTGCAGTAAATATACCGGTGGGTTCAGATATAGCAGATTGCAGCTATGAGTCCCACCTTGAGTAAATTAGCATTTGTTATTCTTATACTGGCGTGCTCTGATCCATGGGGTCACGAAGAGTCGGACACGACTAAACAACAAAATTCTTATACTGTATGTACAGTATATCTCATTTTTCCTCTGAGGAGTATTAAATAGAGTACGCCGCAGTTTCCTTCTCTCATGCTTCCAACGCCTGGCAACCTTAACGGCTGAGCAGAGGTTTGAACCTCAGTCTGCATTTCTCGTTCCAACACTCTCCATTAATCACATGATCTTAACACTCCATGTTAATTACACAGTCGTCCAACCTAAATGACTTCATAAATTGTTTGATACGCAAGGGAAATCTGAATTGTGGAGTACTTTGAATGTGAAGAATTTACAATAGAGATGATAAACGATTCCCCTGTCGCACACTCAGCAATCCTTGATACTCTTTGTACTGCCCTAATCTAACATTGAAGGTGTCACATTCCCTGCCAGCACTGCTCCAGTTCTGAGAAGGATGACTCCGACATCAGAAGAAGCAGGCATCGTGAGCTGTCCCTGTTTTGATCTAAGATCCCCAAATATATCAAGCTGGGCTGTTCAAGCTAAAGCAAGTCAGGGACTTTAAGGGACAGAGCATTTTAAATTCCTCAGGATGGAAAATAGGAAGATGTTGCAGTCACAGCAGCACTATATGATTCACAGCCCCACTGTGACGGGCTCACAAGTACAGGGACAGGCTTCTGTGAGAGGCACTGGGACCCATCTCACCCCCTTCTCTCAGCCCCACCATGGGACGCAACACCCCCTGAATACAAAACCAGAAGCAGCTGGAAGGGCGCTCCTTAACAAACAAACTTATTTTAGAACAAATAGGAGAGGGAGACAGGCTTTGTTTTAAAGAACAGTCACACTTCCTGAAGGTTTCCAATAACAGTCTTACTTTTTAAGTGGAAACTGGATGGTGTTTTTTTGTTTTTGTTTTTTGAGATGGTGATGGGGCTTCTGTGGACTCTAGAGGGTCACAAAATCAGGAGAGAATTGCATCACATGTTGGCCACACCGGCCCTTGTCATGAGTTAGTTGCTCTAAAGTCACATCCAACTTATAGTGACTTTAATAGAGCTTCCAAGCTATATGAGATATTTAAGGAGTGTTTTTACCATCAAAGGGATGTGGTGGCACTGCGGGCTAAACCGCAGAAGCCTGTGCTGCAGGGTCAGAAGACCAGCAGTCGTAAGATCGAATCCACGCGACGGAGTGAGCTCCCGTCGCTTTGTCCCAGCTCCTCACCAACCTAGCAGTTCGAAAGCATGTAAATGCGAGTAGATAAATAGGTACCACCTCGGTGGGAAGGTAAAACGGCATTCCCTAGTCACACTGTCCACGTGGCAATGGAAACTGTCTTTGGACAGGCGCTGGCTCTATGGCTTGAAAAGCGGGATGAGCACCACCCCCTAGAGTCGGACACGACTGGACTAAAAATGTCAAGGGGAACCTTTACCTTTACCATCACCAACCACCCAATGAATTTTCGCAGCTGGGAAGGGATTTGAACCCAGTTCCAGTCCATCACTCTGTGCATTGCACCATACTCAGCATGTTCTTTGTTCCATTGTGGTCGCTTGGAGGAAAAAGGTCCCTGTCTCTGCCATTCACTCCTAGAGTTGTAATATGTGTGAGTCCTTTATCATGGGATCAACTACAAACATGTATTTCCCACACATATAATTTTAGTGGGAAAAGTGTTGAGATGCATTAAGGGGGGGGGGAGTAGCAACAGTAGAACCATCCTCTATATTTCCTTTTTGAAAGCGTCTTCTGATTGCAAAGAAAACCTTAAAAATATAGGAGTTTTGTAAAAACAATTAATTTTTTTTCTAAGGGAAAAAACATGCCCTCTCTTTGGAGAAAAATTGGTTTAACAAATCAACTTCTTTCTTCTTTGAAGAAGCTAGAATGTAACTTTTAAAAAAAGCAATCATTTGGAGTGCTTAAAGTTAGCAAAGATGCAGTTCATCATGTTACACACAAGGCTAGTGTTTCTTTCCTTGCTGCACAGGAATAATACTTTTTTTCTGAAAAAACTCTATAAAACATGACTACTACAGGAAATGAAACCTGAACCTTAATTGCCAACTCAAACACCAGCCTGTAAATTGTTCCCAATGTCAGCCAATATTTTCAAGACTATTATAGACGCAGTACTGGAGGATCTGTAAAATTAGGTTTTGCTGCTCTGTCTTGTTTCTTGCATTAAAGTTCTGACAGATGGTTCTTAAAACACACACACACACACACCATGCACACACACTCTCACACCTTTCAGGCTGTGTAATACAAATGCCGATTAACCTAACCCATACTAACTCAACAATCCAGTCCCCTAGATTTCCATGGAGCCTTCTTCCCAATAAGTGTCCCCAGAACGGTACCATTTCTCTCTCTCCCTCCACCTTATTAGGCAAATAACTTCAGATAAATGCAGGGATGGGAGTGTTAATTCCCTCATGCCACTTAGGATTGTTATATTGTACAGGAATGCAGCTAGGCAACCAAGACCACAAAGGGAAATGTCTTGGAATGGTGCCATCCCACTATTGCCATATGCAAAAGGGAAGTTACTGACAGGCTACAGAAAGACTTGAAACAACAGGCTTACCTTGTGAACCACCAAAATGTCACCTTTGAAAGAAAGCCAGAATTTAATTCTGGACAAGGATTCTACAAAAAAAGAATTGACAATATAAAATACTATTAATAAATAATATACAGTATATCAATACAGAGGGTTTTTTGGGAGGGGTGGGGTGAGTGGGAGTTAGTCGACATGTATTTTGAAAGGCCACACCACTCACTTGAAACCATTTGCAACATGTTCTTGTATGTATATATTGCCCTGGAATTCTTCCCAGTTTCCCACTGCCTCCGCCCCAAGCTCTCAGCCGTGTTTCAAGACAATGGCTAGATTTCACCATCCAATGTCAGTCAGTTCTGCTTGTACACAGCAGATTAGGAAGCAAAGCTGAACTGCTACCAGATAGTGAATCCAGGGGATCTTTTCACTGGAGCGGCAGCCAAGGGTGGGGGGGGAAAGGCAGAGCAAGCCAACGGAACCCCCCCCCCTCCGCTTCGTTGCCAGAAGAGTTTATGAACACCATATGGTGGAAATAAGGATGGAAGGAAAGTGTTTTGCTTTTACTGCCCTTCACCATCATCTTTCAGAAAGTGTGAAATGCTGTTCTGCTTAGAGGACTATTTTCTCCACGGGCAATTATTAACTGTCACACAGGGAGGAACTGCAACACGGGGCTTTTCCCCCTCTGTATTCCCTGGCCTAAATCCAATCATTCTGTAAACTCAGATTTACTGTTTGTAAAACATGGAATGCCAACTGATCACTGCATTAGAAGCTCTTGAAGAAGACTATAAGCAGAATCTACAAAAAGCTAATCCCCTAAAAACAAACAAACAAACAAAAAACAAACAAACAAACAAACAAACAAAAACAGGCCTGAATCTGGATTCCCCAGATCTGGGTTCAGAAGCACTGAAACTAAGTCTTCACCAAGAGTTTACCACAGATCTTAACCCCTTCTAGATAGGAATACCTTTAAACCCAAGCCCATTCAATTTTCAAGACAGTGGTTCCCAACCTTGGGTTCCCAGAAGCCTTCCTCACCAGCTGTGCTGGCCAGGATTTCTGGGAGATGTAGTCCAAGAGCATCTGGGGACCTAAGGTTGGGAACCATTGACCTAAGAAATAGAGAAGCCACTAGGAAATTACAAGCAACCTGTGTGAGAAATGCACAGTTAGATCATTTTTACTGTATAAAATATTTAGGTGTTGCTTTGGACCCAACACTGACATATTAAAAATACTGTGTAAACATCAAACGTAAAGCTGTTACCAAGAATAGCCTATTAGAAAAAAAATTGGAATTATCTGGGAGATGTCCTCCCAAACCCTGGCCTTGGGTTTTTCTGCTGGTGAATTTGCTTTTCCAGCATGGTATAAATCTACACATGCTAAACGTGTAGATGCGGCACTTAAATGAGACATGGAGACTTATTACTGGGCATATGAAACCAGCCCCTCTACATAAGGAATTACTATCTGGAATACTATGTGGCTTATCATTTTTATGAGCACCAACCTTCAACGAGAAGATTGAAATTTAGAAAGAGCTTTTTAAATCTTAGTACAGCACCAACAGTTCGACCACAGGAAGCCAGGCTAGGTCTGTGGAGAGCTAGAACTCTCCACCTGGCTGAATGTATGGAACCAGCCAAGCAGCTGGCACCAGGACATGATGCTAGATGGGATGTGTGGAAAGATCTGAACAGATTCCAAAGTGGGGTTGAACAATCTAAGGACAATTCAGAGAGATGGGGATATTCATCTGTAGGAGCTACAACATGGGAATGTGGAGAAAAACCAAACGACATGACATCTCTATCAATAATCCTTAGGCATGGAAGAAAATCTTGTTCTGGAGAAACAATACGATTGGTTGGTGCAACACAATTTTGCCCAAAAATTATTTAATGCGTTTTTATAGTATATGATTAATCATGTATTGTTGTATTTTACAGTATATGTATTTTCATTTAATGGAGTTCTGGACATGTTATAAGTGAATATATTAATACAATCCTTCTGTTTATTGCAATGCTCTGACACAAATGAATGAATGAATGAATGAATGAATGAATGAATGAATGAATGAATGAATGAATGAATGAATAAATAAATAAATAAATAAATAAATAAATAAATAAATAAATCTAACTGTTAATCCCAGCTAGGATAGACCCATTGCATCAGTTGCGGAATAGCAAGTCAACACTTAGGCAAATCCATGGATTCAATGGACCTACTCTAGTAAAAACTGGCAGTTGAATTTAGACTTCCTAAGTTTGTGTACAGCAAGGGTTCTATCTCATGAAGAGACACTATCTGCAGACTGTCAAGACATACCCAGCCTTTCAGCTCAAATTCCTAAACCTTCCTAGGGAAGAAAGTTCCATCATTGCCTTCCTCACCCCCACCCCACTCACCTAGACTCCTTCTCAGTTTCGTGTGATTTCATCTCTTACTGCAGAAGTTAAATATGCTGACTCCCGAATTCCAAAATCCATTTACATGCATGCTCCACTTCATTTATCCCACAACTTCTTTCTAGCAAGGATTACCGCAGAGAACTTCATTTATCTTTAATAAGGTACCACCACATTCAGTGACCGGCTTTTACATAATCACACAACTACCACTTCAAAGCAGGCTTCTAGCAAATGCCAGCCTTACACTTTTCTTGCCCCTGGGTTGTCCTCTTGGATCAGTGAAGAGAGAGGAGAGCATGTACTCCCCATGGGGCTACATCTGGAGTGCATCTTCCCGTTACTGAGACACAGATTCTTCTGTAACAAAACCCACAATCAGAACCCTTACAGAGATGCCAGTCAAGCTCGGATATTCTTTGTACCAGAAGTGCCAGTTATGTTCTGAAAAGCATTTGGAAAAGTTACATTTTTGGACTAGGGAACTCCTGGAATTCTGCAGCCATCATAGCCACAGATCTATTTTGGGAGCTTGTAGTTCAAAAGAGCTAGAGTTTTGTTCACAGTACACTCTTAAGGTTGTTAAAAGAACAGAGCGTTACTTACTGGATCTAAATTGACTGGTGAGAAAAATGGAGCCTTTTCTTTAAGGCACGAAAGAATCAGTTCAATGAGGATCAGTGCAAAGTAGACATAAAATGTGGTAACCCTGAATCTGTCTTCCATTTGATCCTAAGAAGAAGAAAAAGAAATAGGGGTTAAGAACCAATAAGCCATGAAAATGGACTTCACTGAAATGCCACAGGAAGGTCAATTATGTTAAAGGACTATGGGTAACATAAAAGATAAGATTTTGGCCATGAACCTATTCAGAAAATTATTATTTAATCTGTCCATGGAGTGAAATTACCTCTGTGGGAAAGCAGTGAAGATAAAGATTGTTAGAAGAATGCAATATTATTCTTCTAAAAAAATTAATATCTGATGAGTAACAAAACAAATCTGATTTAAAATACGGAGAGTAGTGTTTGAATTTCAGTATTGTCTTGTTGGAATCAGTATAGCCATCTTTCCACTCTTTTTGCAAGGGAGCCTGGAAAATCCTGCCTTCCAGACAGGATTACTTTCACATCTTTTCTTTGGCCACATACTTTTGATCCCAGTACCAGAGGACTAGAGAAAATATAAGTACCAGTGCAGAGAAGACTGTAGAAAAGACTAAATCAAAATAAAACACAAAAACCTACACTACAAAAACACAGCAGCCCCTTAAAGACCGTTAGAGTGGAGAGAAACAATAAGTGAATCTCAAAAGGATTAAATACCAACCAGGGCATCTTGTGTCATTATATAAATTAATAAAAAGTTCTCCCTACAATATTTTGCATGGTGTGATGATTAAGATATCCCCACACCATCCAAAGGTATGGTTGAGTGATACCTTTACTAGACCACTAAAACAACCAACCACTGGTGCAATAGTTGATCCCAGGAGGCACCTTCTGTTGCCTTCACACCTCACAGCCAGTGTTGAAACTGTTCATTCAAACCGAGATATGTGTGCAATCAACGATCCTAGAGTTAATTACTTGTGTCAGTACTGCCATTGTCATTTCCCTGTGCCTACCTGCATATATAGTATATATACAGTTTCACTGCACTCCACTCTAATTAATGAAGTGGATTAGTCCACAAAAGCTCACATTGGAATATATAAGCTAATCTTCAAGGCACTGCTGTGCTTTTGTTTTGTTTTGTTTGCTACTACAGTGGTGCCTCACCTAACGATTACCTCATTAAACGACAAAACCGCTTGACGATGAAGTTTTTGCGATCGCAAAATGATATTTGGATAGGGAAATTTAGCTTGATGATGATTGGTCCCCTGCTTCAGGAACTGATTTTTCGCTAGATGACAATTTTAAACAGCTGATCGATGGCTCTAAAATGGCCACCCGCTGTGCAAAATGGCTCCCACTGTGTTTTAGGATGGATTCCAAGCTTTACAGGCACCGAAAAAGGCCGCCCCTAAGCTTTACAGGCACCAAAAATGGCCGCCCCTATGGAGGATCTTTGCTGGACGCTGAGGTATTTAGCCCATTGGAATGCATTGAACAGGTTTCAATGCATTTCAATGGGCTTTTTTGTTTCGCTTGACAAGGATTTCACTTAACAGTGATTTCAATGGAACAAATTATCCTCGTCAAGCGAGGCACCACTGTACATTGAAAATTTCCCAGATTTGGTTTCCAGCGCTATTTTTGACTGAAGTGGACGCTTTAAAGACTGCTTTCAGTCAGAGTTCACTTTCCTAACTCCAGTCAACATCTGAGGCTTTCTTGCAGGTCAAACTGCAGTCAGGAGCCATTGGGATTGGGGAGTTTTTCATAGCACTCATTTTGTGCAGAATATCCCCCCCACCCCATCCCCCACATGTCTTTTGCAGGGTCCTGACTCTTGATGTTTGGCCAAAACTGGGCTATTTCAGGTGGCTTCGGGTTTTCTCAAATTTCACTATTTTAGTGTTGTTAACCTGCATGACTAATGTTGCTAGAAGTATGTTGCTATGGGTGTTGGGTTTTTTTTGTACTTTTACAGCACATTGTTTTTCAGTATTATGATGTTTGTTTCCCAAAATATAAGAGCCTGCCTCATGAATAAGAGTGGGATTTCACGTTGCTGAAATGGAGGATTGTCTTCCCTAAAGGAGGACATACAGTACAGCCACCCAGGCATTCAAGGCCCACAGGTCTTTCATGTCCCTGAGAAGAGCAACATTCCCCCCTTTCCATGCAATATCCTTGCAGCTCCAACGACAGTCAAAGTCTCCTAGCTTGCCTTGGAGACAAGCAGATAAAGAATTGTCAGGATTTTGAAGCAGAAGAGAGCAGGTAGGAGCCGAGGTATGCCCTACACCCAGGGTTCTGGGGGAAAGCCAGGCAATCTGATCTTTTGTCTCCTATCATTTGCATATCCTGACCCTCCTCCAACTCTGCCCCACTTCTTTTGCACAAGAGGGTTTCAAGTGCCCTCCCGCCTGAACTGTAACAATGAAACAATATGACACAGCCCACTTATAGACATTTACCTGAGCTGAATTACGGATAATTTTGGACCTCAAAGGACCCACAGCACACAACACGCACAAGAACCAGAATATGACGAGAACTCCTGAGGACTGCACACCATGAAGCCTCTCATATTGGATGAGCAACATGGCTGACAGCTGCAGAGAAAGGAAAGACAGAAATTAAAACAAAGGCTCTCTTTTTCCTTAGCTGCTATTAGGAGCTTGAAACTATTGTCTTGTTTGCATTTGTTACTGGGTGTTTTCTTAAAATTTGCATTTATACCACTATTTTTATTCCTTCTCAAAAGAGAAAAAAAAGAGAGCCTTATCTCAGTTTTATAATGGTAGGATATTTGTATATGCAAAGAAAAAAACATGGTTTCTTTTCCCCCTCAGCAGTAATGACCTTGACAGCCCATATGTGTGTTTTCAATGTAGTCTTCGTTGTACAATAACTACATATTTGGAGGCTCACTAAATTTGATCAAGTGATTGGGTGTTCAGGAGTTTCCCCCCTTATTGTAGTTTTGATATACAACCCACGGTGCACAAAAGTAAAACTCCCTCCAGTGTAGGAAAGGGAACAAACATATTTCACAACATTCATAAAATGAATTCTCCAAACATGAATTCTAAAGTGTACACAGGAATAGACACTCTTGACTCGAGTGAAATTCCTGAAGATTTGATCATTCCTCGTCCTTTCTTTAAAAAGAGAAATGGATATGGGTACTTTAGTCTTTCAAAAATGTAGATAATTTCCATAATTTGCTTCCTCCTTTGGCTGCTATTTCAAAGCTGGAGATATTGCACAACAGTCTGTCTTGTGTATCTGTAGTTAGTCACAGCACAGCCACAAATGTGTGCATTTCACAGCTGCAGAATATAAACAGATGAGAAATAACAAAAGCAGCCTTCAGGTCACGTCTTTTGTCTCCTGTCAAAGCTCTTCCACCCCAACGGAGGACACATGTTCAAGACCGTTCTCCCAAGGCCACTTCATCTTTCTTAATTATGAGAACAGCAAACCAATAAGGTTGGGTGGGAAACCTCTAGTTGAAAAACCTCCCAACCCCAAGTTCTGCCAGGCTTGTACTAGCAGGATGAAAAGCAGGAGTGAGGATTTGTTTGGGATCCTTGGCTCCTGCCACACCATTGCAAGTATATGTTGTGTGTGTGTGTGGGTCTGAATAGGGAGGCTTTGAAACCAATGGATCTAAAAAGCTTTCTTGGGCTCTTTCTTGAAATGCTGCCAATTTTGCTAGTCTTGGTGGAGCAAGGACAGAAGAAGGGTGATGGCCATAGAGGTTTCTTTGCCAGCAGCAGGGAGACCCTGTTTGACCTTTTTTTTTTCACAGATGGAGAGGGAGGTCTACACTATCCTGCTCCTCTCTTGCAGGCCAGGGGATTGCAGCTTTCATTGTCTTTATCATCCTGCCAAATCTAGCCAGTTCTTGCCTGCCATCTCTGGACCTCCTAGAGCAGTGGTGGCGAACCTCTCTGGGACCGCGTGCCCAAACTGGGGGGGGGGGGAAGCAGTGGGTGGCAGACCTGGACCCGGAAGTGCAGACCCAGACCTGGAAGTGGCGGCGGAAGGGGGAATCCAAACAAAGAGGTGCCTCAAGACCCCTCCACTGCCAGCACCAGTTACTCCGGATCCGCCTGCTGAAGCACGAGTACCAGTTGCAGCTGCCTCCTGAGGTTTGGCTGTCTGTGTGTGTGTGTGTGGGAGGGTTGCAGGGTGTGGGGGCAGTCGTGATCTGGCTCACGTGCCAGCAGAAAGGGCTCCGCATGCCAGCTGTGGCACGCATGCCATAGGTTCGCCATTGCTGTCCTAGAGGATGCCACGTTGGCACAAACCAAAGGATATCACCTCACCAGGTTGATCACAGCAGCAACAGAAAGGTATACTAACCATTGTAATGCCAACAATTAAGGGTGTGACGAAATATACAGATGGCGGTGTTCTGCTTTGAATGATTCCATGGAAAGAATAGAAGAGATTGGCCCAATTCACACACCAAAGACAGAAAGCAAACATCTGTTAAAAAAAAAAAAAGACATCGAGAGAAAATCAGCCCAGCTCCAAAAACAGACAATATAAACAGAGAGCAGCTAAAGTACATCTTACTTTTAAAACATCCTTGCAAGTAACCCCCCCCCAAATTACTAGCTGACAATAATTTTTCATTGATTTCTCAACATACAGTGATATGTGCTAAATATGTGTGGCACACTGATGAGCTGAGGGGTGTGTGCACGCACACTTTTCTTCTTGTTTATGAATGTTTCTCTGAGCCTCAGTCAGAGAAGACTTTTGATTGCCAAGGGCTACCAGTTATGCAGAGCCTTGTGGTGTAGTCGTTAAACTGCAGTACTTCAGCCAAGACTCTGCTCACAACCTGACTTTGATCCTGGTGGGGTCAGAGAGCCGGCTCATAGCTGATTCAGCCTTCCATCCTTCTGAGGTTGGTAAACTGAGTACCCAGCTCACTAAAGGGCACACTTTGCCTTTTTGTTTTCATTTCCTAAATTTCTTCCCAGAGATTTCTATGGGTACATTTCCAAAAACAAGAGCATGTTTATGTGAGAATCCTGCAGTTGAACCACTGTGATTTAGGAAGTCCTGTTGGATTGGATAGTATCCTCTGTGGACACTATTTTTGATTTTTGTTTTGTTTTGTCTTGTCTTTCAGCAATAGCTATTCAGGCATTTTGTTCCAGTACATTTCTTTTAAAAATCAAGAGAAATTTCATTATGGACTTCAAGAAGGTTTGCGTCTGTGGTTTATTAAATTAGATGGTGAAAAAACTGCAGCAGTGTGACAGCACAGTAAGGCTACTTTAATCAATTTTCTGCCCTTTTCCTTGATTAGATATCAAAGCAATTAACTGAAACAACATATCGAGCATCTCCGTATTGAAGATATCTCAGAGATATTTTATGAAGATAAGATTTCCTTCCAGTCCATCTTGACTAGATAACCCTGGAAATTATACGAGACCTTCTGCAAAATGAAAGTACTGCCTGATTCAAAAGATGTTCTTAATCATGAAGCTATTGACATAGAACACTATTTTGGAAAGGACCTCTGAGATTAAAATCCAATTAAAAGTCCATACTTTTAACCTGTGATTAATGGGGCAATTATGATCAGTCACTTCTAAACCTGAGGAGCAGTTATAGTTGCTAAAACTGATATTTCCACACAATGAGGAAACAGGCAGTGAGGAAAAAAAACAGACAACTGTTTGCAAGGATCTGGGAGGGCAGAAGGAAAAGGAAAAACAAAACTGCAAATTATGCAGGATGCAGACATTACCCATCAAGAACCAATCTGCTTCCTGACTCATTCGTGGGGACTGCTCGCATATTTTCCAAGCTCTTCCCTGCATTCATGAGAATTTGGGACATGACTTCAAAAATGTGTCAACCTTATAATTCTGTCTGATGAAGCCAAACACCATGTTTCAAAGATAGATTGAGCAGCAAAGGATGAACTTCCAGATGATCACCACTATCTAATTCATTACCTTTTGAATTTAGACTACAGTTAAATTCCTTCTGCCCATGCTCATATTATTTCTCATATTAAAACTCTTCCCTCAGACACCGTTTGCATGCCTTCTTTTTAAAATAAGGGTCTACCGCTGCTCATTTGCCATTATGGAGAATGCAGCATGATCTTACCGTTTTAAACCTGCAGAGCATGGACAATATTATGTACCCCCGATTGTTGCATTTTAAATAAAATAGGTAAAAAGGCAAGATGAACCAAAAATAGAAGCACGGTGCCCATGCCAGGATGGTGTTCTGGAAACACAGTGTTAGGTCTGGATTGTCAGTGTACACTGTAAGGTTGGGGTCCTGCAGGAGGAAAAAGAAACACACTGTCAAGTATTAGTGAACATGCTGGGGATTGGGGGTACTCCAAAGCTTCACCATAAATTAGCAAAGAGCTGTGGGATTTAATATGCTTTTTGCAAAGAAAGGCCAACAACCTGAGCTTATGTGTCTTTTGATTCATTCCACAATGGAAGGAGTCACTACACTCATTTGCCTAACACAGAATAATACATGTTGGAGTTTTGTTTGCAACCTCATATGGTATCTGTAGTTTAAGTGATTGAGAGGGACTTTTCTGGGCTGAGAGGAGTGTCTGTCTATCCCACACTAACCAATAATTCCTTCCAGCCTTTGAATTCAAAGAGAGCCCTGCCCCTACTGAGTGTTCCTTTCCCTCTCTTTAGTCTGTTGCTAGCTGTTGTTAGTTTGCTATTGATCTGTTTATTTGGTCACTAAATATGTGAGTAGTAAAGAAAGCAGCACAAGTAACTGTAAGTAGAGAAATGATTTTTACTCTTTCTACTACAAATGTCTCAGAGTGAGTTATTGAGACTTTAAGTACCAGTTCATGAGAAAGTGGTGGATTCTTTGGAACTTGTAGCTATTCTTCCTTCCTTCCTTCCTTCCTTCCTTCCTTCCTTCCTTCCTTCCTTCCTTCCTTCCTTGTGTCCTACCTGGACACATGCAGCTGATTGGGGCTTGGTCTGAAAAAGTACCATAATGAGAATTCTAAGTAAGTAAGAAAGATGTTTATCTTGTTCTTGTTTTTATTTTTATTGTTTTGATTTACTGTCTGTCTGTTATTGTTTGGTTTTTAGTTTGTTAACTGCCCAGAATAGTGCATTGCACTAATGGGACAGGATAGAAATAAAATAAAATAAAATAAATCTAGTAGTGTTACCATAAAACAAGCAAAAAACCAAAATCACACACTTCTCTCTCAACATTAGTGGAACACCAATCCATGCGCTTATGAAGCATCTAAGCTGCAGTGTGTGCTGCCATGACAGGTCAGAGCCACCTATCAAAACTATCAGAAAATGCTAGTAGAAGTAGAAAGCAAAGGCTTTCACGGCCAGGATCTAATGGTTGTTGTGGGTTTTTCGGGCTCTTTGGCCGTGTTTTGAAGGTTGTTCTTCCTGACGTTTTGCCAGTCTCTGTGGCCGGCATTTCCAAAGAGCCCAAAAAACCCCACAACAACTACTAGTAGTAGGTCTTTATTTTATTTTACTTTATTTTATTTACTATTTATGCATTTTCTAATCCCTAAGTGTAGGGTGCCTCTGGATCACAAAGCGTAAGACAAGGAAAAAGGCAGAATTAAATGGAAATTGTTTGGGCAGGTGGTCCACATTTTCACTAAATTAACAGCATGAGAATGTTCCTCATATGCGGAATGCTTCTGATCGGCAATGACTCATGGGGTGAGATACCCCCAGTGGAATTCTGGGGAACTATCTGACACTATACTATGATTGACCTTGGGCAGATGGGATCGAGCAGATCTCAGAACTGTATTTGCTGTCTGTGGGCCACCACATTTTTGGAGCGGAGAGCATGAAATTTTCTCAGGTGACCCAGCTTAAGTGGTCCAGTTCCAAACAGATAAAACAAAAAAGTGCCGCAAGATGTTTCATCGCTAAGCCAAAAGAAGACAAAACAAGTGTAATTCAGAGTATATAGCTAAGCAGCCTATATCATAAAAGTAGATAACTTTCCTTCATTAAACACAGTTAGAGAGCTACTTCAAAAGTCAAACAAGAAATGCATCCAACAATTTCCTCTCTTTCCATTATCTGGATGGTTGCTATATTTGAACAGGCAATATGTAATAACAACCCTTCACTCAACAGTCAAGGTTAACACGCTGCATGAAGCTGGCATTCTGTTGCTGTTGAAAGATTGCAGTCACAAAAACTATAGAGTGGGAGGAGGTGAAAAAAAAGGCTGAAAAATAGAAAATGGGAAAGAAATACAACTTATTTGCAGAAAAGTAACCACATTCATCTTTTTGCAACACAAAAGCCACGAAATGTTAACGCAACACTTTAATTATGACATACGTTTTCATGCTTTCATCAAATGCATCAAGTACCACCCTACATTGCTAAGTACTGAGCATGTTCATCAAATTTGGCCAAATCCTAAAACTAAATGGGCCCTTTTGGACCAGTTCTGATGCATCCTGAGGTGAAACAGATGTTCCTCCGGAGCTGGCAGAACTAAAACTGGATCTCACAGTACAGTCTGTATGGTCTTTGTTCTTTTGGAAAAAGCAGACAGTCTGTCGAGGGGAGGATGGAGAGCAGCTTTTTAATTTTCCTTTGTCATTGCTCTGTGTTGACGCTATCTCAATGTCTGGTAGAAAAATAGGTGATGCTGGAATTACACCTTTTCCCCCTTGTTGCTTCCTTTGTTTTCATTCTTGATTCCTTCTTCCTTCCCACATCATTTCCTCTCCCACTCTTCATCATACTCTGCAAACTCTTTTCTATCTTGATCCCTGTTGTCCTTTATTTTCTCTTGTGTGCCACATACATTTCCATTCTTTAGCAATAGTTGATAGTTAATTCACTTCAGTCCACCCTGAGCATTGGGAGGGAGACCATGCTGCCTGCAGAAATCTGGGTGTTGTAGTCCCGGATTACAACTCTGGAGGTTTGGATTCAAATCCTCTATCAACCATGGAAGCAGGGTGGCAGTGTCAAAACTATTCCATGAATATCTCCCACATCTGGAAAATCCTATTAAGGTCATCACGACAGCATGTAACACCGCCCCAAAATACATATCTCCACACTTCTAAGAGAAATTTAGTTTTCCAGTTTGATGCAGATTCTCATCTCTCTCTGTGGATCATCATCATTAACATTAGTGTCAATACTACCATTTTTGCTGCAGCAACTTCTACCCCCAGCAGCAACAGCATAGTGGGTGCTTTTTCCTGCAGATTCTTACCCTTTCACCTCTTTCCAATCTTATTTACATTTCTGTCTTCAGTTCCATTTCCGGTTTAATTTAAGTTCCATTTCTTGTTGCTTCCTTCAACTACACATTTCTGCTTGTCCTGCTTTGTGCACCCTCTGCTGTCATCTTGTCTAGAACGTATTACTCAATAGCTGGACCTTTGGCCTGCAGTATATTTCTAAGAATCCCATTTCCTGCTCATTTTCCTTCAGTGAGTTTATCTTTTCCTGTGTTTCTAAGATTTTATTTTACCTTCAGTTTGCCAGCATTTGTTCTTTCTAATGTAGGCTGAGATGGGCTACACTGTGTCCTGCATGTGAATTATTCTACTGAAAATCTAGGCATTATAATATAGGGACTTCATTGTCCTGAACACGTTACAATTAACTATTATGAGAAACAGCTTGTGATGTGGACAAGCCACCCTGGGCAAAGGAAGAGGTCCAGGGAGTGGGAAAGCTCTTGCTGGCACTGCCCTTGCCATTGGACATAAGTATTATGTTTGGCAAAAGGGACGTGGTGGCGCTGCGGGCTAAACCGCAGAAGCCTCTGTGCTTGCAGGGTCAGAAGCCCAGCAGTCGTAAGATCGAATCCATGCAACTGAGTGAGCTTCCGTCGCTTTTTCCCAGCTCCTCGCCAACCTAGCAGTTCGAAAGCATGCAATGCGAGTAGATAAATAGGTACCACTTCGGTGGGAAGGTAAAATGGCATTCCCTAGTCACGCTGGCCATGTGACAATGGAAACTGTCTCTGGACAAGCGCTGGCTCTATAGCTTGAAAACGGGATGAGCATCGCCCCCTAGAGTCAGACACGACTGTTTTACTAGTTCCAATCCCCCCCTGCACCACACTGGATTATGTTTGGCAACAGCCCTCTTACCTTCAGCACAGAAGACACCACTATTGGGAGAGCTCTTGAAGTAGGCAAAGTATTGGAGGTGGCAGATGCTCAGCTGCAGGCCTGCTGATCCCCACCCATCCACCTGATGGACGGCCTATTCCTGTATAGTTGTGAGAGGCCCAGACTTTCAAAAGTGTAATGTCCGATTCACATTTTCCCAAGAAATTGGATGTCATGTGGACATGTTCTGAGCTTGCTATGTTTCCACCAGGTAATGTGTCTGTGCTACAGAAAGGGTTTAGGTGAGGGAAGGGGAACAGGAGCCATGACACTACCAGAAGTCTATACTTACACTTAAAGAAGTAAGCTCTGCAAGGAGCAGAGAAGTCATAATCAAATTATAGAGACCATAATAGTGTGTTCAAGGTAAGCGAGGTATTTAAGGAGTGGTTTTACTAGTTCCAATCCCCCCCCCAGCAAACTTCCATGACTAAGTGAAGAATCAAACCCAGCCCTTCTGAGTGCTAGTCCATCACTCTACTGCACCACACTGGATATCTAATGCTAAAAAAAAAGATAACAGAAAGAAAGAAAGAAGGAAAATAACATTCAAGACACTTTGACTTGGAAGCCATCTCCTTGAGTTTGCAAGAGTTGAGCAAGGCCGTTAAGGACAGGACATTCTGGAAATCACGCATTCATAGGATCATCAAAAGTCAGAAGCAACTTGATGGGACACAACAACAACCACATGTTTTACAAATCACCACTTCCAGAGCTGAATCCAAATCCTGAGGTTGGTGCGCATTCTGACTAGTTATATGCACAGTTTAAGCAAGGAACTATGGACAGTAAATTAGGGATAGAAGAACTGAGTGCAAGAACGGTCAACTGAATTACATGAAACTTGATACATATGTAAAAGCAGCAGTGATTAGTCACAATATATTACTGACTAATATCCTGGCATTTGCTTGATATTTAATATTTACAGTATGATAAAAGCCCACTATTTCTATTTAGGTCACAGGGAACAGAATGCAATTTTCTTGCTATGAATTAATTCACCCTTGAATTTCCTCTTTTCAAAAAGACTACTTAAAATATACAAAGTCATGGGAGCTTGACTTCTTCTGCTACTGGTTTCTGAAATCAGATGCTGGCTGAAATCCACTAGTAAATCACAACTGTCTGACAGTCTTTCTATCTGTCT